GGCCCGTTGGGAAGTTGGATCAATACATCTGACTTTTGGCCCGTGACAGCATTAACAAGCCCTCCATTCTTCTCGACCCGATACACCAACCCGCTTCCTGTTGGCCCTGCATCTATATACACAGTTGAGTTCTCATCAATCTCTTCTCTCACCAGCATTCTTGACAACTCTGTCACCACCCTCTTCTCAAGCCATCTCCTGATTGGTCTAGCACCATAAACCTGGAAATTGGAAGAAAGAAATAATCGTTTAGTATTTCATGCAAAAGTAGAGCAGACCAGCAAAATACAATTCGGTGCAGAGATACTCACTGGATCATAACTCTCATCCAGAATATAATCCAATGCTGCATCAGTCACTGCCAAAGCAATTCCCCTCTCAGCCAGTCTGACTGCAACATCCTTCATTTGCAACCTAGCAACCTTCATCAGTTGGTCACGTGAAAGAGGATCGAACACAACAATCTCATCAAGCCGATTCAGCAACTCAGGCCTAAAGTGCCTTTTCACCTGTCCAAGTACCAAAACGCAAGTTAAGTACCGTACCAAACAAGCAATTCTATAAGAATGCCAAATCACCGTTAGGGATCACTGAAGATACCTCTTGCATAACTCGATCACGAGCATCTTGCATTGTACAGTTGCCCATTAAACCAGATAAGAGATGCTCTGCTCCCAGGTTTGAAGTCATAATAATCACTGTATTCCTGAAGTCGACAGTACGACCTTGGCCATCAGTTAACCTTCCATCATCCAACACTTGCAAGAGAGTATTGAAAACAGCTGTGTGTGCTTTCTCTACTTCATCAAACAATAAGACACTGTAAGGCCTCCGCCTCACGGCCTCTGTGAGTTGCCCACCTTCCTCATGACCAACATACCTGTAAAATGTGAATGAGTCAGATTTTATAATGCTAAATTCAGGAAACATATGTATGAAGAAAAACTGCCAATGCACTTACCCAGGTGGAGCACCAATTAAGCGTGAAACAGAGTGCTGCTCCATGTACTCAGACATGTCAATTCTCACAATCAGATTTTCATCATCAAAGAGTTGCTCAGCAAGAGCCTTTGCAAGCTCAGTTTTACCGACCCCAGTTGGACCCAAGAAAAGGAATGAACCAGTTGGCTGTTGGGGTCTTCCTAGGCCAGCTCTTGACCTCAAAACAGCCTCTGCAACAGCATCAACTGCCTGGTTTTGCCCCACTACTCTCCTATGCAACCTCTCAGCAAGCCCAATTAACCTATCTTTCTCATTCTGGCCAAGCCTTGTGACAGGTATGCCTGTCCAGCGACTTACAACCTCTGCAATTTGGTCCGGTCCAACCGTCTCTGTCAGTATCAGATTTTCATCGGTACTACCTTCAAGTTTTGCAATAGAAGATTCCACATCCTGAATAGCCCCATACCGCAAGTCAGCAACCCTGGCTAAATCATATCTTCTTTCAGCCTCTGCTAAAGCGATTAAGAGCTCTTCGCGCTTTTGCTTAAGCCTTCGAAGCTCGTCAATCCTTTCCTTCTCCTTTCTATACTTCATCATCAGGGGCTGAAGCTTGTCTCTCAAGTCATCAAGCTCTTTTCGCACCTGTGAATCAAATGTTAGGGCCAACAGAAGAACAAGAACAATTTCGCTAAAAACAGAATCTGCAACTTAGGAGAAGACAAACATTCTCTAATAATAGATTGGAGAGCTAGCACTCACTTCAACCAGACGAGCTTTGCTAGCCTTGTCCTTTTCTTTCTCAAGTGCATGAAGCTCAACTTCCAGCTGCATTCTCTTTCTTTCGAGGTTATCAATTTCTTCAGGTTGACTATCAAGCTGGACTCTCACATTTGCACAGGCTTCGTCAACTAGATCAATTGCCTTGTCAGGGAGTTGGCGCCCTATACATAAAAAGAAAAGAGAAATTCAATGCCAAGAAAATTTAAGCAACACAGCCAAAGCTTCAGTTTATATAAATATAAAACAAGAAACTATACATCCATTAACTAATTGAGTCCATACCTGTGATGTATCGACTTGAAAGCTGTGCAGCAACAACCAGAGCTCTGTCCAGAATTCGCACACCATGGTGACCTTCATATCTCTCTTTTAACCCTCGAAGGATACTAATTGTGTCTGGAACGCTAGGCTCAGCCACATATACCTGTTGGAACCTTCTCTCAAATGCAGCATCCTTCTCCACATATTTTCTGTACTCCTCAAGAGTTGTTGCACCAATGCACCTGAGCTGACCTCTAGCAAGCATTGGCTTCAAGAGGTTGGCCGCATCCATCGACCCCTCTGTTCTACCAGCACCAAGAACAAGGTGAATTTCATCAATGAACAGAATCACCTTCCCCTCAGCCTCTTCCACTTCCTTCAAAACAGCCTTCAACCTCTCCTCAAACTCTCCTCTATACTTTGCCCCCGCCACCAAAGCACCCATGTCCAATGCTATGAGCCTCACATCAGCTAGATTACTAGGAACGTCACCTCTCAGTATCCTCTGAGCCAAGCCTTCAACCACAGCAGTTTTTCCAACTCCTGGCTCTCCAATTAGAACTGGGTTGTTCTTAGTCCTCCTTGAGAGAATCCGAACCACCCTCCTTATCTCCTCATCTCGGCCAATAACCGGGTCAAGCTTCTCGGCCTCCTCAACAAGATCTCGTCCATAAGTCTTCAATGCCTGAAAAGTGGTGTCCCCATGGGCATTGTCCACCTTCTTCCCCTCCCCACGAAGCTTTTCGACTTCCGATTTCACTCTGGCCGGGGCAATGCCAGCTTCTTTCAACAAATCCCCAATCTGGGAATCCTGAAGAAGCCCAATAATCAACTGATCAACAGCCAAGTGAGTGTCCCCTTTTGCCTTCTGCGCCGCCTGAGCTCTTCGAATCACTTTGATGAGAGTCGTGCTGGCTGGGATTTCTTCCGGGGGAGGGGACTGAGATGGAAGCTTCTTGAGCGCCTGATTGAACACTCTCTCCACGGCCCGTGGAGCCTCTGCATTGCCACTAGCGTTGGCAATTGCTTGCTTGAAAATGCCATCTGGGTCAGAAATCAACGCGGATGCAAGGTGGAGTGGAGTGAATTGAGCATGGCCGGCATCCGTAGCCAGCTCATGAGCCCCGGAAAGAGACTCATTGGTCTTGCGGGTGAACTTGTCAGGGTTCATTTCCTTCACCAGTTAATTGATACGCAAGAAACACTACCAAACAAAACAAAAAAACAACATCAATGCATATGCAAAACCAGGATCAAAAGTTTCATAAAAACAAAAGTCAGGATCAAAAGCTGCACAACGCTTTATCCTAAACAACATGCATAGCACGAAATTCATGAATCATTAAAATTGTTTTCTTCAATACATAAAACAATGTCTTTCGCAAGCCAAATAAGAAATAAAAAAATAAAAAAATTTAAGCTTTTTTCTGGGTTTCTGAAAATTTAGTCAAGGATGCATGCATAATGCATTGTTGGGCTAAACCACAATAATTTCAACCTAACAATATAGCAAGGCTAAAATTAAAAACCTAAACACAATCATAGATCAACAAGGCTTTGCTCTACAAGCATATTAAATTAAATGGTTCAACACAAAAACGAGAACCGAACTGAAAGAAAGTCTAAAATTCATGGTTTAAAAGAGAGAAAGAGAAACGAGAAAAGGAAGAGTCTTGCACCGCATACCTTGTGCTTGTAAGATGGAAGCTGAAGCTGCGACTTTCTATGACAATGGTGGGTATTGTGGAATGGCGTTTGGCTACTTTGATCTTCTATGTGCTTGATTGCTTTGCTTTCTTTTGTTTTGGTTTAGCAAAAACAGAGCCGATTCTGTGTTCTTGTCTGAATGGAGCTTGGGAGCTTGGGAGAGTGAGTTTTAAGGAGAGGGGAGATGAGACGCATCTGGCCGACACGACAGCACCCAGAATGTACTAGACGAAGCGGGAAGCTTTCATGGCCTTTTCGTAATTTCCAGAATCTTCGTTCATAAAAATATCGCAATGCTATTAAAGCCTTTTGCTTCGAAACGCACCGTCTATCTATCCAGTAGCTTCCGCCCGTTCCAATCACCTATCATATCAAAAACCCAAAAGTAATTTGTTGCTAATTAAAAACTCAAAAACTCAATTCAATTTTCATCATTTCAACTTTGAAACAGTAATTATACTTGAATATTTATTTAATTTTTAAAATAAATAAATAAGAAATTAGATTTTAATATTTTCATCTTATTACTCATAATCTTCCCGTAATGTTCTTAATGCGATAAATTATTGAGTCCTGTGGCCTAACACGCGACCATGCCAGAAATTATTAGGTCCAACGGGCGGATAAGATAAGAGAAGATGAAAGATTTGTTTCTTCAGTTGTTTTGTGTTAGGCTTTCAATTCGAGGACTAAAATTAAAATAGAAATTGAAAACCCTACAAAAATTATTTATTTTTTCTGCCCAAATGAAATTGTATAGCTTCTCACCAACCAAACAAATTCAAAGTACGTAATCAGAAGAAATATTTCAAATTAGAAATCAAACTTGTGGGTTAATTTGCTATCAATAAGATTGTAGATTTCAAGGGGCAAAAACTGTATAACAGATCTCCCGGGTTTCAGTATCAATTTCCCAATATAACAATCAACAAACTACTTGTTGGTATATATATACACAAAGACAGATAACAGAGTTCTAACACCAAAGCCAAAATTTGAAGAAAAATAGATATGAACCCCATGGCAGTTTGGATGCAAAGACAGTTGCAATGAACGGTTCATATCTATCATTTGAACCCATGGCATTTGATCTTGTCTCCGGTCAATCCCCAGGATGAGCGCAGCCAAGCTTTCTGCAAAATAATGATAGAAATTCAAGAGCAAAACTCAAAATCCATGACATCTTTCTCAACGTTGGACAAAAAAGAACTGACTTTAACAAATCTATTTTGTCCCCAAAGAAAAGAACAAAAAACAACCAAGTACCTTATAGTCTGAAGTACTCACATGCGAAAATCCAAACGAAGATTTTAGTCCTCATCACTATCATAAACAACCGCCATTCTGCGATGTGGTGCAGCCTTCCTAGGAGGAGAGTCTTCATCTGACTCGATTTCCTTGCGCTTGTGACTGTGTCCAGACTCCCTAGCCTTTTGCTTAGGTTCCTACAAGTATATCCAAGAAATAATAAATATTAAATCGTAATAAGCGTACTAGAACATACTAAGCGTACTAATTCTTGACATAAGTAAAATTGCCCTACCTTTGAAGAATTACAAGCAAGTAGGTTCAATAGAAAACTGAATGGTTAATTGATCGTAAATGTTCTCAAGCCAACTCAGAAGAAAGAATTATGGAGCCATATACTTCCTATTTTATATCTTCGTGATGCAACACTTTCCTAGTCTATTTTTATGGTAACAATATAACAGATCCACATGCTGAAAATTATAATACAAAAACATTTCTACTCAAAAGAAGAGGGGCATACCTCAGCCTCCTCCTCATCGGATGCTTCATTAACTTCGGCTTCTTCATGTTCTTCTTCTTCTTCTTCTTCCTCCTCATCTTCATATTCTGGCTCTGGATCCTCAGCCCTCTTACGTGGAGGAGATATCTCATCTTCTTCCCCATCAGTTTCATACTCAGACTCGCCTCTCTCACTATCGGAGAAATCCATTGAACGCCGAGATGATTTGGCAGTTGGCAAGGATGACTTGCGAGGGATGTCTTTAGTTCCCTGTGAGTAACATTCCAAGAGTCAACAAGTTTAGCAGAAACGATATACTATAAGGGAAAATTGTAAAGCTCAAGTTATACAACCTTCTTAGCATTCAAAATGCGTTTCTCTGCTCGAGCTTCCATTTCCAAATCCTCCTCTATATGGCGGCGAGAATGACGAGACTCATAATAATCTGGTTCATCATCCTGAACACCAAAATGATCAACTACGAGACCTAACTTGGGTCTGAATAGATAGGTAAATAAACAAAAAATTCCAGTTATGTACTAGAGAATTATTAATGGGCCTTCCACATCCACAAAAAGAATGAAAAAAATGAGAATCTTCAAATGGCATAAACTGAAAAACTACCAATCTAATCATTTGCGTGTACTGCAAAAGAACACAAAACCTTGAATTGACGAGAACACAAAGGAATTCCCATCCTGTGCACTCTCCACCCTCACCCCCAACCCCTATATCAATAACATACCTCATCAAGAGCATCTTCCAAGAAACCAGGTGAAAGTTGGCGCCTCCTGTCCACAGTCGGTGTATACTTTCGACTGACCTTCTCCCTCTTCCGATTAAGAAGTAAATTAGCTCTGATTGTTTGACTTTCAGCCTACAAACCAAACGAAAAAAATCAATCTAGATGTTCCGTGACACAACATACAAAACAGAAACAACTACAATATGAAACAAATTACCCTTTCTTTCTCCTCCTTTTCTCTCTCAGGATCGATGTCAGTAACACAATTCTTAACCTTGTACACTTTTTTATGTCGAGAATCAACCAGGGCAGTTAACAGTCGATGTGAATTTGATGATAAGGACGATGGCATAAACCTCATCTTCTTCAGAACCCTTCCTTGTGATTGGAGAATTCCCTGCAAGTACAAAGCACAGGTAATTAGGAACAAATTATCTTGGATACCAAGTTTTTCTAGAACATAATATGAGCAATTTCTAAGTTGGCAGTTCAGAAATATCTTCAAACATTTTTGGAATCTTTTCTGGATTTATGATGCAAACAGAGTATGCCATGCATATATTCATGAATGACATACACACACACACACACACACACACCCAACAGACTTAGGAATTTTACCTTTTCGTGCCTGAGATATAGGTGTGCTTGATCATGCTGTGCTTCTTGCACGGATATATCTAGAACTTCATTCCCAATTAACAACTGCAAACTGCCATCAGACCATCTCACAAATCGTGCATTGCTTTCACACTACAAATCATAGGAAACAATAGGTTAAACACTACTGAGGGCACAATGTATGAAAACAAACTGGTAAACAGTGCAGCACAAAATGGGTATTATGGTGAAGTTGAACTTATATTGGCTTTCAAAATGAAAAGAGAGAGTTTGAAAAACCCAACAAAATATAGGATAAATCGAAATGTTAAGGTTCACACACACAAAGTTTTCCTAATCTGACAAAAAAAGGCACCAATTTGCATGTATAACAGAATAGAACAAAGATAATTACTTACCGATGTTGTGCCATCTGGATTTCTAACTCTCCTCCATCGCACAATATTGTTCTCCAAACGTATACGCTTCTTAGATCCTGATTCATCTGTCACAAATGTATCCTCCTCCACATATGTCTTTGGATCAAACGGTTTGGGGTCAATGCCCATAATATTTGAAACTTTGATCATGTTCATCTGCATAAGGATAACATTTGAATATAAAAATGTTCCACCAAGTCAAAAATAAAGAAAAAGTTATGACTTTTCTTCTAATTATTTCATAATCCAATAGTGAGTATAAACAATAGCAGTCAAGTAATTCCGAAGTATCCCAAAAAGTGCCTAAGTGAAATAAAGAAGATGAAGGAATGGAAAACGATAGAGCATAAATAATAAACAATTTAGCATCTTTAACTTAAATGCACTTTTACAAAAAATAGATTGCATCCATCTAATGTGGTCTTAGATGCTCATACACAAAGCAAAAGATTTAATATTTTAAAAGTGATTCCCCCATGTAGAATAAGGATTCAAACCTTTTCTGGATGAGCAGGAGGTGGACGCAGTGGAATCTCTAGTTCCAATGGGGGGCCAACCGGTTTCTCTCTAGGTTTAGCCTCAATATTGTCCTCTTCTGAATCATATCTAGCATCTTCATCAGCCACTACATCCTCTAGTCTTGGACTCTTTCCATAGCTCCCTTCCTCTTCCAATGGGGATCTCTAAGGCAGGTACACACGTATAAATCATTTTAAAATTTATGACTCTTCAACAGCCTCAACAAACGAAAGATTTAAGAATATTGTTTTTCAAATTGGTACTCACATTTGGTTCATGCTCAATGTCATTTTGAACAGCGTAATCTGTTGGTTCTTCTTCATCAGAGTCACCAAATACATTACGAACAGCAGAGTGTGCGATGTGAGTATGGTCCTTCTCCTCGTCAGGGGATCTAAAGTTTAAAATCAAGTTTCCCCTTAGTCAAAATACAGTAAGTTTTTTTGTTTCTCTGGAAACAAAAATATGCACAGTGCTTGATGCCAGCACATTGCCATGAAGATCCACTAAGATAAACGAGAAGGAAAAAATGTTGCTTCAGATATGCTCTTTAAAATTCACTGAGCACACATGTATATTTGTATGTGTGAGAGAGAGAGAGAGAGTTACCTCGGACTTCTAGCCTGATTAACCTCGTCATCTTCATTGTCAGGGTAATGGTTTTCCTCAGACCTCTCAGACCCACTTTCAATCACATTTCGTCTCCGGCTTGTCAACTCTTCTTTTTCATCAGTGTCTGTATATTTTCCATCACTTTCTTCTCTTTGATCACCAATTTCTACTTCTTGGGAACTTTGTTCTCTTTCACCCTCACTTTCTCCTGGATCGGGGTTAACATCACGCTGCTCAGCATCACTCTCTACCTCTACCTCCCCCTGGCCCTCTACTTCACCTTCACCCTCAGGCTCCAGTGCTCCCTCTCCTTCATCCTGAAAACAAAACCATCACGAAGATGTTTTCACAAAGCACCTTGATGCTGGTATAGTTGTTACAAGTGCTAACGGATTGTTTCAAACTTTCAGCATAAGCATAATGACAATACATTAAAACAATTACAGACTTAAATACATGTCGACCTAATAACTTATAATCACTACATCATATAAGATTCAACTCATATTACTAATAGCCAAACACAATCCTTAAATTTTCCCAACTACTTTAGTGAGCCAGAGACTTCCTTTAGTTCCTTACAATCACAAGATTCCTCCACAAATACATTCCACACATTTTCATCTCTAAAATTGAACGTGTTAAAAAATGACGCATATTATTTCATGAGTCATGACCAGTGATGACTTTAAGAAAATCAAAATGCTCATGATCCCTTCAACACCAATGCATGTTGAGCTTCTCGCACGTTATTTATGCTCCCACTATCCATTGACAGAAAAGTAATATGATAAGACTAATAACTTGTGCTTGTGCAATTTCAGCTTAAATGCATTAGATATTTGTGTCAATCATTGTTAAACAAAAGTGCCTCTGCTCTTCAACACAACCAACCTCTTATCTTTCATTCTTCTTCTTCAGGAAAATAAAAAATAAAAACACATATATATAAACCCCCAACCCTAAAAAGAACCGTAATCAAATCCTCAAGACACATTCTTCTAACCAAAGCATCTACCACCATTAACAAAAGCACAGCATCGCTTCAAAGTTGAAGATGAAGACAGCTAAAGTTGAAAATTGAAACCTAAAAATTTACAAATATGCAATTGGTATCTGAATTGAAAACGAAAAAGAAAATCGGGGGATCATACAGAAGGGTAATTGGGCTGGGGATTGGACTCGTGCTCGGAATCAACCTCTTCTTCTTCTTCGGATTGATCGCCGAACAGGTTCTGCATCATCTGATGCCTCTTCTCCTCCCCCATCTCTGCGCGCGCGTTGTGCTCGGAGCTCCTCGGGGCTTTTACTTGGCCGCGGATCTGGCTCCGATTGATTTTGTTCTCCTTTCTATCTCTAATCCAAATTTCCCACGACGACAGTGATTTATCTATATAGTTAAAAATAAAAATCCCTAATTTCCCATTAAATCATGTAGTTTTAATTTTATTTTACGTACACTAGTTGTCAAACGGACGGTGCAGAACCGAGCACCGCTGATTAGCAAATAAGGGTATACACTAGTTTTAAAGGAACAATAAGACATAAACAATATAATAGTATTACTTTAGGATATTTTTGAGAAATAGGTACATTTTATATTGATCAGGAAATTGTGAGTGAAAAAATAGAATGAGAGGAGCATGTCATTGGGGTTAGATTATGGGATCATTTTTATGAACCAAAATAAAATAAAATTATGGACTTATTTGAGAGTGATTTTAGATAGGCCATAATTAGTAGTGATTTCAAGTGATTCTAGGGGTTTCGGCAAAAAAGAACAAGTACTTCTAGGGAGAAGCACTCCATAAAATCATTTGGGAGTGATTTTGGATCATGGGAATAAGTATCTCCCACGTTCTTCTCCAAAAAATCACGTTTAGTGATTTTAAGTGATTTTGTGTGTTTCTCCATAAACTTACCTAGTACTCGTTTGGCATTGCTTATTTGGGATAATAAGTGATTTTTTAAAAATTTCGGGAAGTGATTATCCATAAAAGTGATTATTGGCCTCTCCTAAATCACTCCCAAACAAGCCCTAAAATGATTATATGAAGAAGTGATTATTCACATATCCATAATCACTCCCAAATGAGTCATGTAATGATAAAAATATGCTTTCACACAGGTCAAGTTACGTATAAATACGATAAGAATGGAAAAATATCACATGTTAACTTTCATCTCAGCCGTAAAAAGCGTTGGGGTCTTTGAATGAGGGCCCCTTACTTGAATTCAAAAAAAATTCCTACAAACCCACTTAGTTTGGTCTAGTGGAAAATTGAATGGGCTATGCCACATATGTTGGGCGAATGTGATCGGGCTTCTCAATGAGATCCTGAGTTTGATCATTCGCATGTGTAACGAACCTCTTGAGAAGAGCTTTACCTTAATCATTGCCCGGCTCGGAGAGGTGACACTCATGCCACCTTTTTTGTAACAAAAAAAAATAAAAAATTTCCTACAATTTGTCGGGACAAATCAAAATTCGACGGGAAATGTCTTCACGGCAGGTTTAGGGTTTAGGATTTATATAATAAAAAGGAAATTATTTTAAGCATTGCTGTTTTATTTTTAAGAATATATATAAACATATAAAGTAACCCATGCTTTACCAGGCAAAATTGTGTCAAAGTTTGTCTCTTGAATCGTATCCATGGCCAACCAAATTTGTCTTTAATGTAGTTTAAAGTACCTATTTTTTGTTCCCCTCAAATTCCCAGTTGTAGCGTGGTGCAGTTAGCTATGGCTTGGCATATGAGCAACTGATTAGCAAGACCAGAACGCAGGCTCTGTTGTTAGCTTATGCTACTTCCCATGAAATGAAATGGAACTAGTTTTAATTTTGAATGAGGTAAAAGAGATAAAAAGGAAGCAAAGCTCCCAAGAAATAAACAGTGCATAAAAATGGTACACATAGCAAGACACAGAAAAAGAGAAAAGCACCCTCAAGCCGACACCACATACACAGGGCCACTATCACCGCACCGTCAACATCACTGTCTCTATATCTCCCTCACAAATTTTTTCTTTTTCTTTTCAATTTTCTTTTATTTTCTTCTAGATATTACCCATCATCTCTCTTTTCTCTCTCACACACACCCCCAACATACCACTTCTCCTCTCTCTCTCTCTCTCTCTCTCTCAGAGTCTGCAGCAGGAGCTAGCTTGCTTTGAGCACCATTGTTTAACTTCAAACACACACTACTCTCTCTTCAATCATGGCTGTTTTTGCTTTTGCAGCACTGCTTCTCTTAGCCATGGCTGGCCAGTCAAGTAAGACCTTGCTTAGCTGAAACATATTCGCACATCTATATAATATTTTCCTTATAAGGCATGGTTGTTTCAGCCTTCTTTCTTGCTTTCCATCTTTATTTCTAAATGGAACCTCTAAAATCATGTAATCTTTTCAAAGATGACATCTTTACTTGCTTGTAATGCGTCTATCTTTTGAAGATTTGAAGCCAGTGCACCCTTTCATTGTATGTTAAAATGGTTTTTCTGTTTAGACCTTTTCATTTCATGTAGTGGAAGCTATCAACAAAGAAATTGCTCAAGGACCTTAATTAATCCTTGCTTGTTTGTTTTAAATTCTTACTTTGTTTTATGTTCCCATTTTTATTTTTATTTTATTTATAAAAAATATCTGATCTTTGATCTTCCTACCTTATATACACACTCTCCCTTTCTTCCTCTCTCTTTAGATGTGCAAGTTTCTCCCCTTTTTTTATTTGTACTCTTCTACTTTTTATTCGCTTATTTTCTGTGGAATTGTATAGGTGCCAATTGGTGTGTTTGCAAAGAGGGATTAGGTGACGCAGTCTGGCAGAAGACGCTGGACTACGCCTGTGGAGCTGGGGCTGACTGTAACCCCATCCATTCAAATGGGGGATGCTACAACCCCAACACTGTTAAAGCTCACTGCAACTACGCTGTTAACAGCTATTTTCAGAAGAAGGGCCAAGCTCAAGGCTCTTGTGACTTTGCTGGCACAGCAAACCCTGTTACATCTGATCCCAGTAAGCCCGACTGCAACTCCTGTCCTTTTAATTTTTCGGATAGGTTCAGATAGTTTTGAGCAAGGCTGTAACTCTTTTCATTTCTACCATGGTGATTTACAGGCGTAACTGGTTGTGTTTACCCCTCTAGCGCCAGGTATGGTTTTGGACCCATTTTCTATATTTTCCAAGGATATTATTTTTGTTACCACTTCTTGAATCTTTCAAATGTCATCATTTTACTCTTTGTATTTCAAATTTCGGGGGAGAACTCAAATGTACTACTACTTTCTTTCATAAAGCATTAGTAGGACTGTAGGAGTAGCCCGTTTGAAGAGACAAGTAGTTGCCCTTTAAGCAATCTGCATTTACTTTTTACATTACATCTTTCCCTTGGTGGAATAGGCATCTTTGCTTTTATCATTTTAAAAAGGATGCTTTTTTGAAACCAATCGCAATTACTTTTGACTGTTTTCTTTGTGAATACCTTCTGTGTATGATGTATCTCATGTAACATCCAATACGCTCCTTTTTCTTTTTGCTTTTCTAATCTAAATGAGCTCCTTTTTCCGTTTGACTAATATTGTAATTGCATCATGATGTCCCTGACTGATTGCCCATTTGTTGGGTAGTGGAGCTCAGTTCATTTTCACAAAAGATGCTGCAAATAATTGGGATCCAATGCTTTTTACCAAAAGGTTAAGTCTTGTTGAATTGAACAGTGCAAAGAGTAATATCTCACAAAATTACAAATTGATCCTTACTGAACCACCTATGCCAGTACCTTTTTTGGCTTTAGGTACCATACAGTCCCATTTTACGTTTGCCTGGTCTCTGTTCAGAGTTAAAGTTCAAAAGTAGTGGCCACCAACAACTGTGGTCAAGGGGTATTTTGTCCACATTGTGATGGGCAAATTTTGTCCTTCGCTAAAAGCACAGTACCACTTTCATAGTGGGACAATGTATAATCTCAATAAGATTCAAAAGCTACCTCAAAGCTTTGGGATGATCAACTTTTTGAGATTTGAGCTAACTTTTTGAAATTGTGTATCCTCGACGGCTGTGCCTTTTAATCCTACTCCTCTGAACTGAGTTTTCTTTTTCTTTTTCTTTTTCTTTTTTTGGTCTGAAATTTCTTTTTCTTTTTATTCATGTTCTTACATATCATGCATTGCTGTTGCTCCTATTTGTCTCTTTTTTTAATTTTATTTTTAACTTTCCCAGTTATTTTTTTTCCTACCTTCGATGTATCTCACTTAACTTTTTAACATTTATACCTATATGAATACTTTAGCTTTCTTGTTTCAAAAGCTTTCAAGAACTACCTTTGATGATTTATATGCTGTTGTTTTGTTTGAAAGTAGTTCTCCAGCAGCAATGCTCTCTCCTCTCACATATAAGTAGATCTAGACAGTTTTTTTGTGAGGGAGCATTGTTCCTGGACTACTCAGTAATGAAAAATGGAGGTATATCTAGATGTTAATGATAGCATGTTACTATACTAGATGGTTTTGACTGGGATTGATTGATTTGGTTATTCTCTAGGATTCATGTGCTTAATTGTCACCTCCTATACAGTATCAAGTACTTCAATGGACTAGGTAATCAATAGGCTGATGTTATCTTTAGTAAAAAACTGGCAAGTATTTGCACGAAGAGTGCAAGCAATTTCACAGTAAGCTCATTTCTTTTGAATAAAGATCAAAGCTTGCCTTTTGAGCATCTCTCTTAGCTCAATTGCGTTTGCAAGATCATGTTTGTTCCTTTACAACGAATTTCATAGGACGGTGATTATCTTCAAAAGATAATGGCTATAGCTTCTATTTGAATATTTTCACGGCTCAAGATGACGTGAGGATTTTAGTATACAGGAATTACAATGGCGTGACTTATAATACTAATGATATCATCTTCCATGATTCCATCCCAAAACAGTAGGACCTATGAGAATAACTGTGTATGATAAAGTCCAAATGGGTGTTATTGAACGCATCAGATTTTCAAGGTGGTAAGCTTTATGCCACATGGTCTCTATTCAGACACTGTATAACCATATGGCATGGTAAATTTCTTGCAAAATTATGAACTTGTGTATCACCCATGATTTTTTAATTTTTACTTTTCACTCAATATGCTTATGATGATCATGTGCTTGGAGGTTCCTATCTGGAATTTCTAGTTTTTGTTGTTTCTGCGCTGAATGCTGTTTTTCCGTTTTGTCCTTCAGCACTGCGGGCACTACTACAACTCCTGTAACAAATACTCCAGGAACGCCATCCACCGGCACTGGCACTGGCACTGGCACTGGCACTGGAACCGGCACGGGCACGGGCACTGGCACTGGCACTGGCACTAGCACCGGCACCGGCACCGGTACCACAACCCCAACGACCTCCACCACTCCCACAACTGGTACTACAACGCCGACAACCACCACTCCGTACACTGCAACTCCTGGGGTATTAGGAGGGATTGGCACGGGCGTAGGGCCATCAGGAGCTGGCATCAACTCGGACGACAGCGGTGTGATTAGACTTGTTGATGCTAGTTTGTTTTCTTCTATTCTAACCTTATTCGTTTCAGGCTTGATGCTTTGGTGGGGTTGAGAAAGAAATTAGAGGGTGTGAGGTGGGGTAGGGGTGGAACAGAGATGATGCTGGATTTCAATGTGCAAAAGATGGTGTGCAAGTATGATGCATGTGAGTCTGCTGTTGATTTGTGGGTGTTCATCTTAGGGCCAGCCTTGCCAAGTTTTTGTCTTTTATCTTCACCCTTCTAAGTTCTCTATGTGGGAAAAAAAGCAGATGGGCTTTGATTCCTTTTGGGTGTTGTTGCTTAGTGGGAGTGTGACCATGGAAAAGCATCTGTCTTTCTGTCTACAACTTGTCTCTGTTTTTTGTACATTAGATCTAATCTGAGTGTACTGCTAGCTAGCTAGTCTATTAATTTGATGAGTATTTGGCACTTATTTTCCTAGTTGGTATTTGGAGAACCCTGTTTCAGTATGGTTATTTATTTCTTCTTTTGCTTCTTGGCTCACTATTTTAGATTATTTTTTATCTTGTTTGGTGTTGGCTACCTCGTGATCCTGCTAGGGTGTACTGTACATTCTACAAATTTATAATGCCTTCAGTATAAATCCAAAAAATAAAAAATGAAAACTATATAAAGGTTCATACCAGTTAACATGGTGGAACATGATCTTTGGTGATTTTTTTGAAAAGGACATAGGCCTTAATAAGTTGCAGTCTGATCCTTTTATTGCTCTGGTCCACATTGATCATGATGGTGGACCAAGCTTTCATTGTAGCATTAGTTTCTCTCACCAACCTCCTAGTTTTACTCTCAGACCTGGGTTTAATTACAACGTAAAAATCATAAGGAAACCAAAAAAGAAGATCTGCTCTTCACTCTAAGTGACACGAAGAGAGATAGGAAGAATGCGACAATGCAACCCGATAGAGAAGTTTTTCTTCTTCGTTAAAAAATTATATCCAATTATATATGTACAGAAAGGTTTACTAGAAATACGAGAGATTGCAAGATCAATGGAGACCCTCCACTCCACATGGTTACAAGTTACAACAATTTTTTAATCCAATTGTAGTATTTCCCACTTCCCATCATTTATTTAACTCAAATTTTTAACCTTTTAAAGTGCTTTGCACGTCCTGACATTTCAGGGATATCTGGAACATCGGTCGTTGTTGTTGTGCACTCCATATTCTGATTCTGAATTTCAGAATTTGATTCATATATTCAAATTGGTCATTAGAAATTAGAATATTGTGAAATGGGCTTCGGTTTTCTCTTCTTATAGCTAAAAGCACGTTATTATTTTCTTTTGTTTTTACCACTTTTTTTCTTCTTCTTCTTCTGAATGTTTATTTTAGGGTATGCTGTAGTTCAAATGTCGCTGCAATATATACTATTTTGCTTTTATTTAGATTGCACGTTTGGGGCTATGTCGAGGAGTTACAATGAGGGGGTTCAATTCAACAATCCACTAATAACTTTATATTGAATCGAACGTTATTAAGTACCGCTCATTATAACCCCTCACACGAACCCCTCATATCTATTGCAATTTATGTAACCCAAGAGTGAAATCCAAGATAAATTACTATGCCATGTGAGGACCTTCTTTCCATGTCAGGCAACAAATATTGTTCTTTTCTCTCCCTTATTTTTTAGATAAGATGGTGTTATATCGTCATCATCACCATCATCAGTACCATCATTACCATCATTACCATCATTATCAGTATCACCACATCGTCACATCATGGAGGATGCGAAATGTGATGCCCAACCGCCTTTTTTCGTTGATTTTTTAAAAGGCCCAACTTCCCTCTGGGGGGTGAGGTTCAATCTCATAGCGTTGACCCAAACCAAAAAAAAGGGTTCAATTTCTTAGCCCGATTCCTTTGAATTGGGGTATATTCTTGGAGCAGTATAGAGCCCATGACTGGAATTTGGAAGTGTCAGTTTGCTTATGAAGTTCTGGAAGCTTCTATCATTCCCTATCCAATATGACAAATCAATCCCTTGGGAAATTTTTTTTTCCTTCTTATTTTTATTTATTTAAATAGTCATCAAATTTATACCTTAGTTGCATTTTGATCATTCAACTAAATTTTTCATTCAAACGATCCTCCAACTCTATATTAAGAAGTGAATTAGTCATACCGTTACATTCTGTCAATGTTGCCGTCAAATATAACGGTAAAACAGTCCACCAACTCTATATTAATAAGTGAATTAGTCATACCGTTACATTCTGTAAATGTTGCCGTCAAATATAACAGTAAAACAGTCCAGTTAAATAAAATACAAAATAAATTTAAAACTTAAAATCAAAAGGAAAAAACCTTTCTCCCTCTTCCACCTCATAGCCCCTAGCTCGATAACCATTACCCCAGCACCCCATCTTCTCCTCCCCGCACCCCACCCTTTCTTCCCCTCCCTCCCTGTCCCCAACTCCTCTCTCCCTCTATCTCTCTCTTCCCCCTTTCTCTCTTTAAACAAACCTAGACCCCTGTAGGCACATCCGCAGCCCCTCTTTCTATTTAGGAAACTAAAGGAGAAGAGGAGAGAGAGAGAGAGGCTGGGAGAGAGGGGTTGGGGTAGGTTTGTTTTTTTTTTTTTTTTTTTTTTTTTTTTTTTTTTTTTTTTTTTGAGTGTTTTTGTTTGTTGTTGTTTTTTTTTTTCGTTTTATAATTTTTGATTAATTTAAAAATTAAAGAAAAGTTTATATTTATTTTAATCACATATATATATTTTAGCTATCAAAAGTCTTATTGACCCCCAAAAATGTAGCATTTATTGCTCGCATGACTAAATTTAACACAAAATGTAACAATAGGACCAATTCGTCGATTAATAAAGAGTTGGTAGACTATTTGAACAAATAATTTAGTAGAGAAATTAAAATGCAATTCGGGTATAAGTTTAAGGACCATTTGAGTAAATAACAATTTCTTTCACAATCGATATTTCAAGGAGAATAATTGAATTCGGTGAATGGATAAACACTCATAATCACTTACTCTTGTTTTTTGCTTGAGTGATTTTAGGCCAAACTTGTATTAGTTGTATGCTACATACCAAAATTTCAATTGACAATTAATCACCTCTCACTCATAGTTTTTCTTCATGTAGCTACTGCTAGCTAGCGACTTGGACTTGCTTTTGTTTGCATAGTTTTATCCGTGTAAGCAGCCTTGTATCATTCTTGTTTGCAAAGCTTTATACTTGGACTAATTCATAAGGTTTCTGAACGCTATACCATGTGTCTCTTGTTTTAGTTAACAAGTGAGTAAAGATAATATTCACATTACGCATGTATTAAATACAATATCATAATAATTGATTTTGTAAGTACACATCAATCCTCTCTTATACTCAACAACAAATGTGGTTTCTCATGGAAAGGAATACAGGACAGAAGGAAAATGACACGTTTGAAGCCTTTACTCCACTGTTGAATTAGGATATATTGGTAAATTAGGATCGTAGCAAATTGATTTTTTTTATCTTATACCATCGGCAAAATAAAGGGATCTCATCAGACCCACGTTGGTTTTTATTTTTTTATTTTTTTTATTGTTTGTGGAAACGTTACGTGGGTTTGGTTTTATCAATGTACATTATTTTGGATTTTTCCATTAAACGTTATTTTGGTTTGATTAGAGATGCATTTGGATGATTCTCATTGGCATAATGGCATTAGCATCTCTAATCAAATGAAATGAAGTCTGGAATTTGGACCCACTATTTGACTATTAATATGTCTCAACTTAATCATGCATGTTATTTCCAATTTACCATAATGCCCCCGCAGTCCCAGTCCTTATGCGCCTGCACTTCTGAACTGCCCCCAACTTCATAGGCACGCACGAGACCCACCTGAGTATCTGTAACCGGGAACAGCCCCGCCAACCAAGGCAAGAAGGAAGAGAGATAGAGAGATGGGGTGGGCAATAGCACTCCACGGCGGTGCAGGCGACATCCCGCTCTCCCTGCCGCCGAAGCGCCGCCTGCCTCGCGAGGCCGGCCTCGGCCACTGCCTCCACATCGGCGTTGAAGCTCTCAAAGCCAACACCCCCGCTTTGGACGTCGTTGAGCTTGTGGTAATCAAATTATCAACTGTTCTCATTTCAATTTCTGAATTAAGAAAACCTTTCTTCTCTATTTTTACCGGATCATTTTCATTTAACTTAATTAAATTTTTTGGCAATGAAATATTATGAATGAGGAATGAGTGAGTCTGATCATTTTATTAGTAAATGCATAGGTTCGTGAGTTAGAGAACATTCCATATTTTAATGCTGGTAAAGGGTCTGTCTTGACCACCCTAGGCACAGTTGAAATGGAAGCTTGCATCATGGATGGAACCAAGAGATGTGGAGCTGTTTCTGGGCTCACCACTGTTGTCAATCCCATATCTTTAGCAAGACTGATCATGGAGAAAACTCCTCACATTTATCTTGCATTTGATGGAGCAGAGGCCTTTGCAAGGGAACAAGTTAGTGCCTCACAACCAATTTTACCATGGGCTTAAAATGGTTTTTCCTGTAATGGGTTTCTTGATCTTCAATTTTCTTGTATGACTTCCTAATTTTGCAGGGCGTTGAGACTGTAGATTCAAGTCATTTCATTACCCCAGAGAATGTTGAGAGGCTCTAGCACGCAAAAGTTGCCAACAGAGTGCAGGTACACTCTTGTCTAAATCTTTCATCCACTTTCTCGGGAAATGGAAAATGTCTGCGAAGCTTTTCTGATCTTCTGCCAACTCGGTAAGTGTTATTTCATTATTTTATCTTTCGTTATCTTTCTAGCATTTCTGATTTACGGTTTTGATGATCAGCCTCTTCATCATTTTTTGTCCTTTTTCAGATCCGCCCAATTTTCTTCCACTTTCCTGAGAAACGCTACTTTCTCAGGAAAATGTCTCCAACACAGTGAATTTCGGTAACATGTCCATTAAATAACTGGATATTTTGTTCGATTCAAAGCGCTTCTTGTTCTAATTCTTCATCGGTTTTTAAAGGCACTGCAATTTTCCCGAGAAACTCTACTTTCTCGGGAAAATGTCGGGATCGCATGCATGCAAGTGGCTTCGGGATTGTAAAAACAGGTTAGCAAATAGTCATTAGCTATATTTTCTCTGCATGTTTTATAGAGTACAGTCTGATATGGTTTCCATAATATTCAGAGACTTCAGGCATTCCAGAGTTCGGACTTGAGGAGATAATAGAATTTGCTGTTCCTGAACCGAGGTTCAGCTATCTCAACCATCTTACTTCTACAAACTCCATATACTCTCGGAAATCCAGGTATCAGATCACCAGAGATCTGAGGCTTTGTTCAGAAAAATTATACCAACTGTACGAAATACATGAGAAGGTTTCGGCCACCGGAGATGACAAAACCTGGAACAGAGCGCACAAGAATCTCGTTAATGGCTTACCAGACATAATGGAGGTAGCGGACGTCGTGGTGGAGCACAAGAACGACATCTTCAACTTGTAGACGTTTCTTTCTTTCCCACTAAATCCAGCGGTAAGTTAGAAGATACTGCCAATTTTTTTGTAAATTGTCAACTGGGAAATAAAACAGGTGATCATTGAAAATAGTACAGGAGTGGAGATTTCGTTGTATAAAGAAGCAAAAAGGACATTTGGACGCAAGATTAAGGTCGTGCGTAAGAATTCCGAGGCAATGAAAAAGTACATTGCCTAAGTTTTAGATGTGAACTCTACGGTTATGGAACTGATAAGTGACATGGAATGGTTCATGTTCTGTACGGAGTTATAATGAGCATTTATTGTTGTGGTTATAATCTAGGATCATCTAGGAAAGTGTTAGAACTACTACTTTATTGTTAAGAAAAATAACTCCGTACAGAACATGAACCATTCCATGTCACTTATCAGTTCCATAGCCGCAGAGTTCACATCTAAAACTTAGGCAAGGTACTTTTTCATTGCCTCAGAATTCTTACGCACGACCTAAATCTTGCGTCCAAATGTCCTTTTTGCTTCTTTATACAACGAAATCTCCACTCCTGTACCATTTTCAATGATCACCTGTTTTATTTCCCAGTTGACAATTTGCACAAAAATTGGCAGTATCTTCTGACTTGCCGCTGGATTCAGTGGGAAAGAAAGAAACGTCTGCAAGTTGAAGATGTCGTTCTTGTGCTCCAGCACGACGTCCGCTACCTCCATTATGTCTGGTAAGCCATTAACGAGATGCTTGTACGCTCTGTTCCAGGTTTTGTCATCTCCGGTGGCCGAAATCTTCTCATGTATTTCGTACAGTATAAAAGATTGAGGCAATATAATCATGGGAATCGTTCGACAATGTGGAACCATTTTATTGTCATTGCTCGCAGGGTAGTTTTGTTTGTCAGACTGCTACTAGGAATATAATTTTATTGAAACACACTTCGATAATCAAGCAGTCAAGCATCAAATTTTTCTCTTCTACACATATAGTCATTGTGGACTTCTAGTTGATCTGGATTTGCATGCAATTTAAAACTGGAAATGAGATTTCCAGGGATTTTTCCTTGGAAGACTTGCTTATATCTGTGAAGGAATGTGGCACTGCTGCAAGAGGAAATGAAGCAAAACAATCAAGGATAACCCCTGCAGCTTCAAATAATTTTGACCGAAAACACTCTGCCGCTTCAAGAACGCATCGATGCCATGTAGGTCTTCATCCTCAACTTTATTCAGTTCATTTTTGTGTTTTCGCTTATTTCTCATAATTTGCAAGTTCATGCTTCATACTCTACAGAAAGGATAAAAGACAATGGAGGTGATATCAATTCAATAGCATCTAATTAACCTGTTAAAAGTTGACAAGTTTTAGTGATGTAATCAATCTCAATGCCGTGTTATGTATGATGCCTCCTTGTCTCAACTTCCATAAGTAACTCTTTTGTATTACTGTCCCTGTGTTTTCATGGTTTCTGGGTGATATTGAATTGTGGATACTTCATACTTGTTCCCTTTTACTTTTTCTGTTTATTACTCAGTGAATTTACTGGCACATGACTGGTATTGCCTTCATCCAGTAAGGGGAGAGGAGATTCTATTTTGCCCAGTATCCATTGGCATTCATACTTGTAGAATAGAAGTTGCTTCATATGCAGAAAAAGAGCTGTAATTATTATATGATGTTCTTTAACCGCCTACTAATGGGATAGTGAATGTAAAATGTTTTGACTCATAAATAACCTTAATATTTCAAGTAACACCTCATATAGGATTTCTACCTGGAGAACAGAGTGATATCAGATCCTTGATTAATTAACGTTAATTTTTTTGGTTATGCCTCGTTGGAACTATCACTATCTTGTAATCCTTAAAATGCTGTTTTGGATGCTTTAAGAAATGACACTTTTGTTGAACCATTTTGTCTCATTAGGGTACAGATTCATTGCTACCAGTGGAGATGGTTGAGCTTCTTAGAAAAGGCATTGGTGCGAAAGGGCAGGTTTTCCCTACACTTTTTCCGTAACCTTATGTTTGATGTGGGGAAATGAAAAAGTGAAATACACAACCGTAGCTTCTTTGGACCTAGTTGCATAATATCTATACAACAAACCAAAACTGTATAGTTTTTCAAATTAAAATATATGTGGGTCTGGCATGCTGTCATGTTTCTTGCAGTAAGTACATGGCAAGTTCTGCTAACCACAGCACCATGAAACTGTGGATGCAGGTAGTGCATGTTGAAGACATTGGTGCTCGGAGACCTATTTATGTAGAAGTTCCACATGAACTGTCTGAAAATATGAGATCTGCACTTCACAGTATTGGAATCATGCAACTATATAGCCATCAGGTATGGGTGTTTTTGAGGCTATGGGGCACCATCTTCCTGAAGAACACCAATTGTTGAATGTGTTTTAGCTTTTTCTTTCCTTTTCCATGATATTTATAGGCAGAGTCAATACAAGCCCCACTTTCTGGGAAGAATGTTGTTGTGGCAACAATGACATCCAGTGGGAAATCTCTTTGCTATAATTTGCCCGTCTTAGAAGTTCTGTCGCAGAATTCTTCATCATGTGCTCTATACTTATTTCCAATGAAGGTTTGTTGCATATGTGTTTGCATATTTATGAATGTGAAAATCATTATCCTTGGAATTGCTTTCGATAACAAATAAGTTTTACATAATTCCCAATTGTTTATGCACACAGGCTTTAGCTCAAGATCAACTAAGAGCTTTGTTGGCTATGACCAAAGGATTTGATGGTAGCTTAAACATTGGTGTATATGATGGTGATACTACTCAGGAGGAGAGGACATGGTTGCGCCGTAATTCTACACTGGTATTTGGTTAAATGATGATTGTTGACAGTTTTCTTAGCTTGAATCCTCTTCTAAGTTTATGATGGACTTCTTTATCTGCTTAAATACAGCTAATCACGAATCCAGATATGTTGCATGTATCAATCCTACCACACCAAAGACGATTTGCGCGGATTTTGGAAAATATTAGGTATTGTCTCTTGGGACTGTCATGTGTAGTTTCTGAAACTAGGTGACTCATCAATAGTTGTGTGAGTGTGTGTGTTTGCATGCCATTTTTTATATTTGAATTCTTTTTGTGTCTTATCTTATGATATAAATTTGAACTGGTTGTTTGAGCAATATGTCGTTATTATTAGTATATTTATTACATTAATTATACAGAGATTTACTTCATATTTAATTCTTTAGGTTTGTAGTCATTGATGAGGCACATATTTATAAGGGAGCATTTGGTTGTCATACTGCTTTTATCTTAAGGAGACTTCGACGGCTCTGCTCACATGGTAAGATCTTTCCCTTAGAGTTTGCTAAGGATGAGATTGTTCACTATTGGATTCTTCCATTCAAATTGAAAATTCAATACCTGTCTCTTTCTATTTGCAGTGTATGGAAGTGATCCTTCTTTTGTGTTTTCAACTGCAACTTCGGCAAATCCTCACGACCATTGTATGGTAAGATTTGTTAATAATAATTACAGATTAATCCTCTGTTGTGTTTTACAAATTTTGGCTTTCATGGTTCTTATTTTAAGACTTTCATCTGGTACTTTCCCCCATCTATCTTTATTTTTTAACACCAAAAATATTTTCGGTGCTATGGTTTTTGTGGAATATAGAGGGCCATGCATTTAGATTAGCCTGATTTAGTGAGTGAAAGAAAAGAGCAAGGAGGAGGTGGTCTACTCACTGACTTGCCCCTATTTAGAACTTTTTTTTTGGGTTGATTTATATCACTTTGTATCAGCACATGACGTGGGTGTTTGGTAAGGAAGCTCAACTTGCTCCAGTTTTGGGGTGTTGGGAAGACATTTAAATAACCTGGTTGACTTCTGTGACGCACACCCGCATTTGTGTAACTTGGTGGCATTGCATTGTTATGTTGCTGATACAAGTGATCAATTTGTTAATTATCTTGGTTTCTTTTTCTGATGCTAATTATGTATAAATTAAAAGGATGACTATTCTAATTCTTCAGGAACTTGCAAGTTTACCAACTTTAGAGCTGATTCAGAATGATGGAAGTCCTGTTGCTGGAAAGCTCTTCATCCTTTGGAATCCTTTTGTGGATCAAGAAACTGTTGGTGTTCTGTAACTGTTATGGTGCCCAATAACTTTGTGATAAAATCATCTGTTACTTTTCTAAATCTGATGTTTCATCATTACAGGTGATGAAGAATCCCAATAATATTATGGAAAATGGTAAATCTTCTGATGAAAGTGCCAACTTCAAAAGCTCAAGGTAACAACTTGTCACATGTATATAGCAGTGGAGAATGAGAATATTGTTTTAATAATTATGATTTTGGTTTAGAGGTCATATTAAATCCGGGTTAATGATAAAAATAGCTTGACAAGTTTTTCTGATGTGGTTTTCTCATCTCTGGAGACCACAGTTTGAATTTCTTTTTCTTTACCCGTCTTCTTTTCCCAGGAAATTGCTTGAACATGTATGATGGCCCCTCAGCAGTTGGTGTATTTACCACCAAGCTGTCTTCACAAGAGCAGTTTGACTAACTTGGTTTCTACCAATAACTACAAGGCTCTTATAGCTCCTGTTAGAAATACATGTAGTGTACTCCATACTGAACTAGTGTTAAGTTTCGTTTGACCATACCATGCTATACACACCTACTGCCTTATAGTTCTGGTGCTTGACTTCTGTTTCATTATTTTCCAGGAAAATAATTTGCAGTTTTCTTTTTTTTTTTGTAAGCTCAATAACCGAGGCTGAAATTATCTTTGCAGCCCGCTTTTGGATGTTTCATGCCTCTTTGCTGAAATGGTACAGCATGGACTACACTGCGTTGCTTTCTGCAAAACACGCAAGCTTTGTGAACTTGTATTGTGCTATACGTAAGTATCATCGATTTTGTGGAGTTCAGTACTCCAATTCTACATGACATGATTTATGGCATTTTTTGCCTCAGGCTTTTGTCATTTATCTGGTGTTATGGAGAGTTAAATGATGAAATGAATAAATATTATTGTGCTAGGTGTGAAATTCTTCAGCAGACAGCTCCCTATCTGGTAGACTCTATATGTGCTTATCGTGCTGGTTACATTGCTCAGGTTAGTGAGCTATTTGCCCTGCATTTATTTCCGTCATTTGAAATGCTGTCTTTGTGGAAGAGAACCTTGGAGTGGTTACTTCTTTTTGGTTGAAATATAGATTGTTGAACCATTAGGTTTTTTGTGCTCTGAATATTCACAATCATAGACTGCAATCAATAGGGGGAGTCAGCTATTATCTAGATTATTCCTCTGTTTACTTAAAAGTTCGAAATTATTATGCCTCATTGAAGCTGATAGACATTATTGTCTCTCTCTCTCACCCCATTTATAATAAAGATACAAAGTAAAAGAGAGTATGTGATGTAATTATGTGATAGTACTTTCTTCTGTTTCATAGTCTCTGCAACTTTGTTACTGACAATCAATGTATATATCCTGTTAATGTCTTGTTTAGTTTGAACAGCCTTCTGACAGCATTTGCTTGACTGGTGGAGCAGAATAGGAGAAGAATAGAGAGTGATTTTTTTGATGGAAAGCTTTGTGGTATTGCTGCAACAAATGCCCTTGAACTGGGTATTGATGTTGGACACATTGATGTAACTCTTCATTTAGGTTTTCCTGGTAGTATTTCTAGGTAGGCTTCCAGTTAATCCTGTTCCCACCAGTGCTTTAACTTATTGCTCAAATTGTTTTAATTGAGTATATTTGTTGTTTTATGTTATTTTTTTCCTCCTCTTCTATGCATGTCTGAAGCTTGTGGCAACAAGCTGGCAGAGCCGGGAGGAGAGATAGACCTTCTCTTGCTGTGTATGTTGCTTTTGAAGGGCCTCTTGATCAATATTTTATGAAATATCCAAAGAAACTTTTTGGAAGCCCAATTGAGTGCTGTCATGTTGACGCTAAGAACCAACAGGTTTTAAATTTTCTTTTATTCCTTTCATTTATCCATGTCTAATTTGTGTCTAGCGGATTGGCAATATTGATTTTATGCTTCTTGATACCTTATTCCTTGTAGGTTCTTGCACAGCAGTTGGTTTGTGCTGCTCACGAACATCCACTGAGTTTGTCTTATGACGGGAAGTTTTTTGGTTCTGGTTTAGACAGTGCCATAGTCTCTTAAAAATAGAGGATATTTGAGTTATGATTCATTATGTAATTCTTCTGCTAAATTTTCTAACTATATTGGGCGCGAGGTACATTATTTCTTCGCATTGTCTGAGTTTAATCCTACTGTTCTTTGGTTTATAATTTTTTCTCTTGCAGCATGCCGTTGTTTGCTCTGTTCAGGATTCTGTATATTTTGAACAACCACGACCTTTTGGTTTCTAACATAATCTTTTTCTGTGAAATATATTTTTTGTTGTTGTAGAAAATGCCTTCACATTCAGTTAGTATACGTGTTGAAATAAAAAAATAATCCAAACATAATGCCATCAGTACTAGTCAACAAATCAATGCCATCAGTACTAGTCAACACCAAAGTTGAGGCTCCAAAACCTTCTCTCACATCAGAGCAATTAAAAGCCAAACAACAAGAGCTTAGGGAGAAAGCTCGCAAGAAGAAAGAAGAAAAGCACAAAAAACCAAAAAAAGTAGCAAAACAAGCTCTGTATCAACAGACGTGGCCTCTTTAAATTCCATGACTTTCAATTACTAGTTTAATAGACTACATGGTCTAACTCTGACAGAAGGGAGCAAAGGAAGAGACCAACCTTGTTTTGGTTTCTCATATTCAAAGCTCTGTATTGGTTTTGGTTTCAATTGGCAGCTGGCTCTCAGATGTGGACTCTTTGTTTATGGGCATCTCAAGACCCGGAAACAAATTGATGAGTTGACAAAATAAATTACCCATTAAATTCTCAAAAGTTCAAAATATTTAATGGGTGGTTCAAATGAATTATGTGGTTAATGGATTAATTTTTAATCCTCAAAACCATATGTGAGTAAATTAATAGGCTCCTTAAAATGCCTGTGAATTTTCTTTGGATATTGACAATAAAAAAATGGTACAAAACCATTCCAAATTTTCTCATGGGTCATCTACCCTGCAAATTTCAATGAGATCAAATTCAAATCTCTCAAACATACAAATTCTTTTGAATGGTAATTTATTCTTTGAAAGTCCAACCAAATAGTCCGAACTACGTCCGATTTGATTCCGCCAAGGATACGTAGGCAATTTGGAAATTCAATCCAAATACAACTGCAAGTTCAAACAGAACCCTTGGTGTCCCTTAACCAAATTTGCCTCAAACACTTTTCCAACCACAAAATCAATTTGAATCCCTGGTCCAACCACATTCATCCAAATGCCATAAAATATTTCTCATATCACAAATTCTTTCAAGGGGTCATTCATTCTTTGAAAGTCCAATCAAATTACCTGAGAACTACAAAAGGCTTGATCCCCAAAATGGGGTATGTAGGCAGTCTAGGGTTCCTTGGATGCAGCCATAACATCAAATCAAATTCCATTATTTATTTCGTTCTTCATATTGGAATCAAAGGGTTTTCTCTTTTCAAACAGATTATAATTAAGAGATATTTTTATCTTGAATGGGTCGTACTCAATTAAAAAATAAAAACTCTTATTTATAAATAAGAGTGAGATTATGCTGGGTGAATTTTTAATTTCTTTATTACACTTTTTATCTAACAATACGATCAATAGAAACTGAGAGATACAAAGTTATAGACCAGCAAAAGAAAGAAATCTTGAAGAGATCGAGGAAAGCAGGGCTTTTTTTCAGGTAAAATTCTAATGCACATCTATAATACATTTTCTACCTTACCTTGTTGGAAACCTATAAAATACTTTGTACACTATTGTTTGGAGTTTTTTTCCCCCATTTATCTCTTTATGAATTTACTTTAGATCATTTTATCCTCATACATTTAATCCAGGTATATGAAGGTGCTGTTTATATGAACCAAGGAAAGACATATCTGGTCACAAGCTTAGATTTATCACGTAAGATTGCTTCGTGCTACGTGGCTGATTTGAAGTATTACACAAAAAGCCGTGATAACACAGATATTCATGTCATCGGCAGTAAATATGTATGTCAGATTCTTAAACTTTTGCATGCAATGCCTTTTCCTCAATGCATTTCCGTAACTTGCACGAGTTAATTTTCTGTTGTAGGCTTATCGGCCTCAGCTCTCCAACATCCAGTTCTCAAGAACACCAGCCCGAGGAGATCCTTGCAAAGTAACAGCTACATGGTTAGGGTACCATTGTGTATCTAGAGGAAGCAATGAGATAATGGAAACAGTTGACCATGTACTTCCTAAATATTCTTATGAGTCACAGGTAAATCAGAGTACATATTAACATCATCAGAGACACGGAACCCAATATGGAACGACATGAGGACAAAGCACATTTCCAAAAACTAGGACATTGATACAGTAATATACAAGGACATTGATACAGTAATGACATGGAAATTATAATAATATATTATTATAATTAACAAATCAGCTCATCAACCCATTCAAACAGCTGTACCCATTCAAATGCCCCACTCAACCTTGCAATTTCAGCAATCTGAACCTGAACTCAACCCATTCAAATTCCCAAGTAACCCTACATACCGTGCACTACAATTTTTAATCTATAAAGTACAAACCCATTTCAAATTTCGAGGTCACAAAGGTAGCTAGAAGAGTAAAAGAGAAAAGAAAGAAAAAGTAATGGACTGAGCCCCCCTCCTCTCCCAGCCCCTTCCAAATGTGTCCTGACTGCGTCCTTCCCATGTCTCCGCTCTGTCAAATGTGTCTCCTCAATGGACACGTATTGTGCTGTATCCATTGCATCTCGTGTCTGTTTGCAGGTCGGACATTGCATGCCCCAGAATATTGGGGGTGTCCGCGCAACCTAGATTGTCATTGGTTGGTTCTATGATTAACCTTGAATTGTTGTTTGTCTTCTCTTTTTGTCTATATAATCTGTTTCATCTTTTCATCAAAGCAGGCAGTTTGGGTTCCGGTTCCACAATCAGTAAAAGAAGCTGTAATTATGAAAGACCTTAATTTCCGAGCAGGGCAGCATGCTGCATCACATGTTGTTCTAAACGTTGTGCCTTTGTGAGTCCCTTATACTTGTGATTTTCATATACAAGTCTCCCTCAGCTTTGCATTTTTCAGTAAATTTGTGCGGTTGCATTTTTCAAAGCCGGTGTATTGCATTGCATGCATGGTTTACATTTTCATTTACTCGCTCCCTCCCTAGTCGGATTCTCTTAAGAATTTGAAGCATGTTTGTTATGATTCCAATGGTTGTGTGCGACTGACTGCATTATGATGTTTTGGCATGCAGACGAATAATATGCAACTTATCAGACTTGGCTCCAGAGTGTATAGACCCTGAATACACCCGCTATTACCCGGAAAGGATTCTATTATATGACCGGCATCCCGGAGGAAGTGGTGTCTCTGTACAGGTGAAAACTGAAGTATCATTACATTTGCTGAAGAAAGCTTGGTTTTATTTATTTTCACCTTTTACAAAAAGGTCATCTTCTTAATGCTGTGATCTTTGATTACTCTATGTTCTACCATATGAGGAAACCTATAGGATGCTAAGCGGCCCTTTAATATATCTGATAATGGTTTCACTTTTGCCCTGGTTTGGTTTCCGAAGAGGATTCTGACCTCAGGACGACAGCAATATCCATGTTGACTCTCTGTTGAAATGAATATATTGGGACATGTAACAGGTTCAGCCGATTTTCATGGAGCTCTTAATTGCTGCTTTGGAACTTCTTACATCTTGCCGCTGCTCAGAACATGGAGGCTGCCCTAATTGTCTTCAAGTCTGTCTCTCATTCTTTATATTTGCTTTATCTCTCTCGCTCAACATGAAGTAACTGGAAACATTTTGCATTACAGAGTTTTGCTTGTAAGGAGTATAATGAGGGTTTGCACAAGGAGTCAGCAATTATGATCATTAAGGTTGAGATCTAAAGTGAAGTGATTTGACAGGTGAAGTTAAGAGGAAGTTAAGTGATCAGGAATCAGAGAGTGGTACGAGTACGAGAAAGTTCCAGAAATATAAACGTTGTGGTGATGAACAGATGAAGTGATTAGTAGGAAGTAGTAGGCTATTTTTGCTTTTGAAAACCACAAGTGAAGCATAGGCAGGCAGAGGAAGAAACAAAAGAATATTATGAAGGATGCCTCGATATTTTTGGTAGCTCATGCAAATCATGGCATTCTCTGTGTGTAAATAAGAACTCAGGGATGACCAATCTTAAACCAATTGTGTTCCTTTTACAATTCTGACCGAGTTCAGAGGCTATTGAGAGCTTACTTTGCTTTCAGCCGGTTTGTCCAGAGGTTTTTTTTTGTAATTTTCTTCCTTTCTTCTTTTGTTTTTTCCGTTCTCTCCTCTTCGGGCTTCTCTTGTTTTGTTTTGTCCCATTTTGGGTTTTATTCAATGACAACGACCAAACACAAACACAGAAAAAAATTTAAAATAAAAAAATAATGGCCCATGCAGGTCTGGAACCTGCGACCTTCGCCTTATTAGCACGACGCCAGCGATCTTGGTGCTCCGGCCATGGCCAACAGTGAGAGCGATCGGAAAAGGATCGGCCAGGGCCGACGATCAAGTCTGGGCTAAAGCCCAGCCACTCACGCCGCCGTTGCGAGCTCAGAAAGATCTGTGGATTTCGAGTTTTCCAACGTTGTTTCCGGCGACTCCGGATGTTGTTTCTGTTGATCGAGGTATGAAACTTCATCTACTTTTCGTGCTCAAGCTGTTTATGTATGTGGTTAGGATAGATTTTGGAGTTTTGGAAATTAATCAATACACCCTAGTTTGATCGACGGCTTTGGCAGTGTTCCGGATTGCTCCGGCCACTTTTTGGCCGGGGGTCCAAGACCAAAAATTACTCCCATTGTTAGTCTGAATATGTTGATATAGGTATTGCAGGGAGTTTTGGGAATTTTTAGCGATAGGTTACCATTTGACTCTGAAGGTATGCTTGGTATGTTTGTTTCAGACTCTATTCAGGGTTGTTGGAATGCTAGTAGAATCTGTTTTCTATAATAATGTTAATATGTGAACTTCAAGCGAGACAATCTAAGAGGAAGCAAATTTAACAGTAGCTGTTGGCTTGTGCAATTGAGGTGCAAAATAAACTTTTTTCTTAAATTATTTTAGGCTTAAGAATATCATAGGGAGACAGAGAGAGCGATAGCTTGTACAGAAAATTGGACCACTTTCTGAGCAATTTTATTATATGCTCAAGATTCTTTGCAGTTGATAACAATTGTTTTCTCTCTTCTCACTCTTTTTTTTTTTTTTTTTTTTTTTTTTTTTTTTTTTTATCTATACACTAACTCTTTGAAGCAAAAGAGGCAAGTTTAAAATCTTAGCATATGTTTTATAGAAGAGAGCATTTGCATGCATGCATCAGAAGAACCCAAAAAAGCCCAACAAGAACAAAAAAAAAAACATGAGTAATTTCAGACAGATTATCTGATGTGGTAGAAAATTGGAGTATTGATTGAATGGTTTCTGTTCTAATAATGGAATGCAAAATTCCCTTTTCAAATTTTGTTTGTCTCTCATTGTGCTCGGTTTTCTAGCCAGCAATATCCATTTGCTTTTGTGTCACATCAAATTTACTAATCTTAATTAGTAACCATATCCATGGAAACTGCAAAGGGGTTTGCTCAGTATAAAGTTTGTTGCCATTAGTTAGCAAGGAAGAAGACATTTAATATTTTTTACTAGTGGCAAAAAATGAAAAGAAAATCAAGGCATTGGTTGCTGCAGCTAATAGTGTTTGTTTCTGTCATGGTAGTTTTGGCAGCAACTTGTTGCCAAACCAGTTCACCTACAACACTAGTTCTTTCAATTTCAGTTGTATTTCAAGGTTGCTGCTTTACGAACATGGGGTTTTTGCTCCGAGTTCCTAGGGTTGTTCCAAAAATTTTTTTGTTTTCCGTTATATTTTTCAAGGTTGCTGGTTTATGAACATGGGGGTTTTTGCAGTTGTACATTTTATCGTACTTATTATGCAAATGAAATATAGTTGTTAGCTTCGAGTAAGTGGTATGAACAGTTGTTTTACTGTTCATACCCTGCAATTGAGTTGATTTCTATGACATAGTATTAGCAGATTTTCAGTAACAAAGCATGCCCTATATTTTGCTCATATAGACGTGCACTTAAAGTTTATAATATGCATAATGTGATTTTCACTAGGAAAATAGTTTTATAACACAGTATTAACAGTGTACTTTTTTTTGTTTTTTTGTTTTTCTTCTTGTAAATGGCCTTTGCAATTGCTTCTGGTGAAACTATGGACAATTGGAGGTGGTTTTTGCAAAGGATATCAAATATCTTGCTGGGCTTTTTTAGGTTTTTTTTTGAGTTTTTTGTATGAAATGGTATTAACAATGTTTTTCTATGAAATGATATTAACATTGTACTTCTATGACATGATATTAACAATGTATTTCTATGACATAGTATTAACAATACACTTCTATGACATAGTATTAACAATACACTTCTATGACATGGTATTAACAATGTACTTCAGGTTTGCTGGGCTTATTTTGGGTTTTTTTTGAGTTTTTGTATTGGACTTGTTTTAAGTTAATTAGTGACAGAGATGTAATTTATAGGAACTTCAACACTCATTTTTTAGATAGTAAATGGTCTTTGGGTGTTTCTAAAGTCTATTCCATATGAGGTTTTTTTTTATAATTTCATATCCTATTTTTGGTATATTACTAAAGCTCCATTTATTTAACTGTTGTGGGTTTTTTTTATTTATAATAATTAGTAGTTAGTTTCTAAGGATCCAGTCCGTACGATTCTCATTAGGGTTGTTCTTCGGACGAAATGGATCGGAAATAGGAGTTCTGAATTCCGATCCGAAAATTTTCTGAAGTCATATTCATTTCCGATGCCGATTCTGAAATTTCGGAATATAATAACACCATTCCGATGCGGAATTTTCGGCGAAGTAGGAACTTTCGGAAATTAAATCTTTTCAGAGTTGTTGGAAGAATTTCGAAGGTCATAGTCAAAAGCAATTTTGACAGGAAGACTTGTAGAAACTTTGGTGCATACTTGCAGTGGTATTCCATTAGTATTGTCGTTTAGTTTTCCAATAAATGGTGTCTATCTATATTATTGCCGTGAAGAAGAGGAAATATGGTCACTGTTGACACTCAAAAATGGTTCGGCACTTTTGAGCCCAACTACGTGATGAGGTGTGATGGATGACAGGTAAAGGTGAGGACCTTCACCAAGTGTGTGAGGATTTGAGCAAGCGATAAACATACAGAAGACAAGATATACATGGTTCACCCTTAATGAATGGGCTACGTCCACGGAGAAGTATATTCTCATTATTATAATATTGTGTATTTACATTTGTACATGAGGTTGGACCCAAATATAAAAGTAAGAAAGGAGAAGGCCATGACTAAAGATCAAGCCCAGCCACAGGATCCTTTCCTAAGTGGAGAGTGGTCTCCTTTTATAGATGAAGAGGAGTCTACACATCTTGTAATATTCTCATGTGGGACTCTTTGACTTGCTTAGATTTGCTTTTAGTTGCTTGGTCAGATATGGCATAAACAGTCACGAAGAGAGAGAGAGAGAGAGAGAGGAGAGAGAGAGAGAGAGAGAGGAGAGAGAGAGAGAGAGAGAGAGAGAGAGAAGGAAAAGAATAAGGAAGGAGAATGGTAGGGAAGGAGAGATGAGAAGTGAGAATAAACGTCTGGATGGAGGAAGAGGAAAAAGAATGGGGAGGCTGGAGAAAAGAAAGAAAGTAAAACAAATATAAATTAGGGTTTCACCCTAAGATTTTTTTTAATATTTTTCCAACTCCTCAAATTAGTGATTAAATATATTCAGTTGACATGTATTACACAAGGACAATTCTAGCTATGGTGGTCTGTTAGCAGAATTGCAAGTGAGAGGCCTTGGGTTCGAAAATACCACTTGTGGATGATTTTTTCTTTTTTGGTTTTGTTTGAAGGATATTATAATATTAAACACTATTGTTATAAATTTATTGTATATTTCTCCATATATATATACATATAATTTAATCATATATGTCGCAAGTTAAATTAATTTTATCATAATTGATGTTAACATTTTAATATAACTTGCACCTCTCATCATGAAATTGGCATTTAATTTTAACCTTAGTGTGCGACCATGGAATTTAATTTTATCCTTTGAACCATGATCAATTTTATTGGATCAACTATTAATCCAATGTGTGATTATGACATTTACCTTGTGTGTGACCATGGAATTGTTACCCTTTGAACCATTATCAATTTTATTGGATCAACTCTTAATCTAGTGTGTGATCATGACATTTACCCTTAGTGTGTGTAACCATGATCAATTTTATTGGATCAACTATTAATCTAGTGTGTGACCATGGCATTTACCCTTATTATGTGACCATGGAATTATTACTCTTTGAACCATGTCATTTAATTTTACACATTTGACCCAAACAAGACTATATTTTTTGCCAATAGTCTTAAATTAATATACTTCTATGTTAAAATTAATCTATTGGAAAAAATTATATATTTTTTTAGAGAAAAACAAGATTTTTTTTTCTTTTTCCAATAGTCTTAAATTAATATACTCCTATGTTTAACATATGAATATATGAGTACTGAAATAAAACACATATAAGACCTATAAACAAAAAACAATGTAATTATAATTAAAATTTTGGAATTTTCTAGAAATAAATAGGAAAAATCGGATCGGAATGAGTTCGGAGTAATTCAGAATTTTTTGGATCGGAATTTCGGAATTTTCAGAATTTATAGATACATTCTGATTCCGATCCGAATTTTATCGGAAAAATCGGATTTCAGCATTTTCGGATATCGGAGGTATCGGAGTCGGATTTTTTTGGAAAATTTCGGACCGGAATCGGTAGAAATCGGATTTTCCAATCCAATTTACACCCCTAGTTCAAATTTATGATATTATGGTCTTTGTAATTGTGGTTTACAAATAGAGGAAAAGCGTATTAACTTGTGGTTTCAAGTTCGAATCCTCATAGCACCTTGGTAGTATATATGAACCCCCATCCTCTCCTCTTATAGTAGAGACTATAGCTTATATATATATTTTTTAAAAATATTATTAGTATAGATATTTGTCGTGCTAATGTTGGAAGAAATCCTACATTCAAATTCTCATCAACATTGAGTAAAAGAAAAAGAAAAAGAAAAATTCATATAAACCATTCCCACACCAAAAAAAAGAAAAAAAAATTGAACTCTCAGATTGATTTACTGAGAAATTTCTCTCTTCAATATCTCATTTAGATATGTTGAAAATAGCAAATATATATATATATATATATATATATAAAGCAAAAGGCAGAGAATGGTGAAACATTCAAAATACAAGAAAATGTCATTGGTTAATGCAAACATTAAGAATTAAAATTATTAATTAAATGAGGATAATATGGTAAATTCACACTTTAAAAAAAATTAAAATTAAAAGAAAAATCAGATAATGGATCCTATTTTTACAGAACACAACTACCCATTATCTTTTTAATTCTAAAAAAAATTAAATTCTTTTAGAAAAGGCCTCTCGCAGGCGCGTGCAAAGAGGCTAGTATATATAAAGCAAAAGGCAGAGAATGGTGAAACATTCAAAATACCAGAAAATGCACTGGTTAATTCAAAAATTAAGAATTGAAATTATTAATTAAATGAGGATAATATGGTAAATTCACATTTTTTCATATTAAAAAAATTAAAATTAAAAACAAAATCAGATAATAAGTCATACTTTTATAGAACATAACTACGCATGTTATCTTTTCTTAATACTAAAGAAAAAAGAAAAAAGAAAAAGAAAAAAGAAAACCAATTGGCACATGCATAAGTATGTGCCAAGGGGCTAGTGTCTATAAAGTATAAACTAATGCAATTAGGAGGGTCCTTTTTTCTTAATTTCTTTTTATTAAATGGTATAGCCGTGCGGCTATACCTTTTAAATGCTATTTTTGACACGTAGGAGCCCAATCGCTTAGAGGTGCTAGTCGGGTCCCATTTTTTTTATATATAAAAAAAAAGTATCTCCGCATGGCTATACTCCTTTTTTAATTTTTTAAAAATATGTATAGCCGCACGGCTATACTTTTTTGACACGTAGACGAGCTAGGTGGGTCACCTTTTTCAAAATTAATTTTTAATAGGCTTAATTATGTACATGCCCCCTGTGCTTTCCAACTTATCTCATATTACCACCTGTGGTGGAAAACGTCTCAAAGTACCCCCCAACGTGCAAAAAACTGTCTCACGTTACCCTTTCCGTCAGTTTTTTTGAAGTTCCGTTACGAATGTTACTGTTCATCTCCCCCAAAATTCCAGAACAGTAGCCCCTCCCCTTTGTTACTGTTCATCGCTTATTTACCCTCCAAAACTCAGAAATTTCTCATAACCAACACAACTAGCAGCAAGAACAACTCGAGAGGTTGAAAAATCATACCTGGATCGAAGAAAATGGTGCTTGGAATCGCCCGAACGAGCAATGGAGATTTTGGGTAAAAACCGGCCAATTTCTTGTTTTTTTCGGTGATCCAGACGACGGTTGGCAGCGGCTGAGATGTGAGGGTGGTAGAGGACAACGTGCTGGTTCTTTTGATATCCATGTCGTCGCTTGGGGTGGCCGGAGGAGGCGATGGCAGCCCAAAAACTGGTGCGATGAACAGTAACAAATGGGAGGAGCTGCTGTTCTGGAATTTTGGGGGAGATGAACAGTAACGTTCGTAACGGAACTTCAAAAAAACTGACGAAAAGGGTAACGTGAGACAGTTTTTTGCACGTTGGGGGGGTACTTTGAGACGTTTTCCACCACAGGTGGTAATATGAGATAAGTTGGAAAGCACAGGGGGCATGTACATAATTAAGCCTTTTTAATATATAGTATAGCCGCGCGGCTATACGGGGTATTTTTAAAAAAATAGTACAGCCGGACGGCTATACGAGGTTTTTTAAGTTTTTAGGCGAGTCTCCTTTTATTTTTTATTTTTAAATATATAATATAGCTGCTCGGCTATACAGGTTATTAATTTTTTCCAATGAATAGTACCGCCGCCCGGCTAGACTCCCTTTTTAATGGTTTTTAAAAACTAGTATAGCCGCGCGGCTATAAGGTTTTTGACACGTGGGCCACTAAGCGCTTGGCGTGTCCTCTCTTTTTTCCAATTTTAAAAATAGTATAGCCGCGCGGCTAGACCGTGCTATTTGAGCAAATCTCTCTATCGGTACTCGCCAGCTTCAGCCGCCATTAGAGAGCAGAGCAGAGCACGAAGAAATTTGTTTTTGTATAATAATTCTATTAGCAAAAGCGAGAGGTCCAAGAAATACCCACATGGTAAATATCCTAAAAAGTACCATTTTCTTGAAGGAGTTTACTGCACGTTTGTTTACTGCACGTTTCTGTTAGAATAATGTCCTAGTATTTAGGGACATCTACTTGTATTTGAATTCCAAGTTTCTGTTACCACTTAGCTTTATTTCCGCTAAGTGGGTTCTTGTTCTTAGTTTCTTTTTAGGTCAAAGTTCCCAACATTTCTTTCATCAATATTCTCTATTGTTTTTCATTTGGCTGCTTCTGCTTCTGCTTTGTTTTCATTATTTATTTTCTACTTGCTTTGCTTGTCTAGTGTGTGAATCTGTGATAGTTGCTCTTCAGTGTTCAAACTTCAATGTACTTGATTTTACCACATATAGCTACTGTTGAACTTGAACACCCTGCTTTGCTCTTTTATTTAATTATTTATTTTTTACTAACTATTTGGCTGATTACGATGTAATGTGGAATACGATCTTTATTGTACACTCTCTAAGTGCCTTGATTTGAGCTCTTTAGATTGTGAAGAAAATGAGAAGAAGCAAAATGCTAGAATTCACACTTCTTTCTCTCAAGTAATTTGGTCTTGTTCTTTCATTTCATTCATTCATTATGTATACCAACAATTGAAGATTTATTTTGTAACATATGATTGAATTTCTTGGGCAAGTCTTCAAAATTGAAATGGGTGGTCAAGATTCAAAAAAGCATTGCTCTGACAGTCTGTTGGTTCTGTACAAAACTCTTATCTCAATAAACATAATTGCAAACTGCTCCAAGATTTCTGGTTCATAATTTAGAATGCCAAGATGGCTAACATTTAAAAAAAATCCACCCAAGGAACTTGTTCTCCATAAACTTCTGTCTCTGCGGATAAAAATAGCAGTGCAAGGGTTTTGATTTTTGTGTTAAATCTGAGCATTGTTGGTCCTATGCATTGGATTCAATGCTGGTTGCTTTACCTTGCTGGATGGAGTATTCATATTGAGCTCTTTACACAGAACTTGGTAAAATCTCCTTAAAAGAGGTAGCAGTTCCCACTTATTAAAGCTGAACTTGGATGTTCATTGCTGAAAGCCCAACTTGACAATGACACTGTGCTCAGCCAGCATGGATTTTTTTTTCTTTCTTTTTGCTCATTTAGCAATCTCATTGTACTTTTCATAGGCTCATTAAAGTCTATTTCTTAACTACTGTCATCAAACAACAACAACCATGCCTACAGTATTAAAAGCACCACTCACCTGTTGTTCAGTTTTAAAGCCACGAGTTTGCCCTGTATGTACTTCCACCAAGAATCTGCAGCCATGTGAAACCACATACGTTCTATTATGCCTTACAATGATTTGTACTGGATGTCAAAGATCTATTTGTAGTATTCTTTAATATATATCTGAGGCAAATGGATCTATCTCTATGAAGAAACTTGTCTATAATGTCTAATTATATCTTCTCATTCTGTAGGACAAACCTTGTGATGTATGCGGTGGAACAGGCTTTGTGGAGTTGATTGCTACTTGCTTTCAATGTAAAATAGCTTGGGAACACGTGTATGAATTAAAAGTACTCTCTCTCTCCCTCTATCTCTAAGCATTATCGATCTGTCTATCTGTATATTTGTTTTGTCTGTGTTTGTGTGCCTGTATGTGCGCTGACACATGCACGTGTCCCCTGTGTTTTAGTGGCCATGCACTTTGATGTATATATGTTCTTATTTTCATTATTTTTATATTTTGGTTCCTATTACTGCTTGTCTAGCTCATATCTTTCTGTTAAAGTTGGACTAAGGAAACTGCAGTTCTGATTTTAAGGTTGTCATTTGTTTGATAACTTTGTTGATATACGTCTAGAACTTTCTAGAACCATGAGTGCACTCGTTGGGGGAAGAGGGGATTGCTTGTTGTTATTCCCTTTGTTTTCCTATTTAAACGTAAACAGTTAAAAGAACATATTGGAAAGACGTAGTTCAGATACTTGTTTGCTTAATAAACTTGGTCATTGCTTAATCACATAACCAAATGAGCTTCAGTTGTCACCCACTTCCTAATGGCTGTATAACTTATACCGCTTGATTTGTATCTATATCTTGAAGGGATTGCAGAATGTCCATCCTCTTGCTTTTGTTAATATTGAATAATCAGTTGCAGTGTGTTTTTGATTTGTGTATTTTGTATAGCCAATTTGGACACTTATTCCAAACATGTTACTGTTTCTCTTTCCAGCTATTGCATACAGGTCCTCCTTAAATATGTTCCAGAAATTTGGTTTTGTGAGACATGTCGTTCTGGAGATCAGTCACTCAAAAATCTGTTAGAAAAATATTATTTCAGAAGTCTTTAGGAAGGATCAAACACCTTTGAGATAATCCACTCTGACATGTTGCGATCTGTGGGTTCCAGAAGGCTTGTTGAAGAGTCAGGCAGTTCAGGTCATCTTCGAAAGTGAACTTTCTTGGGAACTGCCAAAGTAAAGTTTATTCCTATTGAAAAAGCTCTTAAAATGTCATCTGGAGCTCAAAAGGTGGAATTGCCCTCACCAAGTAAATTGCACTCAAGCTCTATCTGAATAGATACCAAGGAAACAATGTCTAGAAGGGCTTCCACTGAGTTAAAATCTACCCCTAAAAAAAATTCTTCATAGAAGGTGAAGGAAACTTACAAAAATTTACCTGCTGGACAAGCTCTCTGGACATGGTAGTGAAAAAATCAATTCAATCACTCCTGCACAAGAGCCTAAATCTTGTACTGAATTAAAATGTAAGATAACTCTAACATCTATTGCATGGAAAACTTTTCTAAAAAAATTTGGCAAACACAAGGGTCAAAATTAATTGTTGCAGTATCTCAAATATTTTTATGCATTACATATTGAGTATGCATGGTCTTGATTATAGGCCCACCAGATGGATGGTGACAATGATTGAACAAAGCAGCAGTTAGCAGCAGTTAAATTTGACTCTTCTACTCATATCAACTACAAGTCCTCAGCTATATAATAAGCACTGAGAATCAGCGCTTGCATGTGTGTGTGTGTGTGTGTGTGTGTGTATGCAAGATATATGTTTCTTTATACTTTATATCCACTGTAAATGCTGTAAGTAGGTAATCATGTACCTTATGAATATGACTGACCATGCAATTTCAGTTTCAGATAAAGCAACCCCTATCGATATAAGATTCAAAATCTTTGCAAGATAGAGTAACTGGATACTTCATGCATCAATTTTCGAGGCAAAAAAAATTTCGATAACTTCATATAATGTTTTGGTGTGCAAATTGGTGCTTCAGTTATGTGATTTTCACTTGCTAATTGAATATATGTTTTCTCAGGAGGTAATTTATGTGCTGATGCTAAACCCAAGAACTCTATCATTCAAGGATTGGGTCTGCCGAACATTTTGCCCAAACCTCAGATAAATCTTCCAAGGAACCCAGATTTAGATGCTACCTGGTGGTGAGCACCTCATATTTCATGTAGTTGAGTAATCATTTATTTATTGATAAATGCAAAAAGCAAGCATGCATGGACCCACAAACACTGCATATCATCTGAGCACAGAGCACCACTTTCTATTTTGAAGTTGCCATGATACTGTCAATATATGATAGATTATTAGCATTGGCTAGAGACTTTTATTACATTACTTTAATTCAACCTCTCTCTTCCCTTTACTGAAGCTCTATCATTGTCGGCGAAACGAGAATTTGTTCATGAACTAGTCCTATAACTTGTATTATAGCTGATTTGTATTTGTTGTTTGATGATTGTGATTAGCGGAAGCCTTGAGATCCTTGATATGGTTTCTTGTGGTCAATTTTGTGATGGGTTCCAGGCTCATCTTCCGGGGAAAGTCCATCCTGAAACTGTAGAGTATTCAAGGCTCATGCCTAATGTGCTCCAGTATACGTTGCTCCCTTGTAGCAGTGTATTGGCAGAAATCTTTGAGAATGACAGACCCACTGTAAATGATATGGCACTGTTATTTTCCCCTGGCGATTTTGAGAGGTCTGTTCCTGAACCAAATCTCTAGTGCTTAATATGCAATTGCTAAATAGATGATCGTATGCTATTTGAGGAAGCCTTCAATTATTTTACGTAGGTCTAAACAACAGTATTTTAGCCTCTTGGGACTTCTAGAGATGCGATATATGGCACTGAGGAGTCATATAAATGGTGTCAATCTATTGATTTCGTCTTCTAAGAGGCTAAATCTAGATTCTTGTGTTAAGTGATAAACCTAATCCAGACTTGACGCGATCTGCTGCTATGTCTCATCTGAGTTTGATATCATCTGTTATCATTATCTTGTATACATAAATAGCTTATTGTTATTCTTGTAAACTTGTAACTCTCTGTACATGAGTTTAATATATAAATGAGAACTGCTCACCCAGTTTGTGTGGGTTGAGTTTCTTCCATCATCTTCTCTCTTTCAGTAAATGTTATTAAATTTGAGTATAAATCTAAGCTTCTTGGGACTTCATAACATGCACTCAGCCCGTGCGAAATAATTGAAGGCTTTCTTGGGTTTTTGCAATGTAATCTAATCTATTCATTTGTGTCCATGTTTTTGTAGGACTGGAAGTAATGGAACCCTTCCTGTGGGTATATTGCCCTGCAAAAGGCCATCTGGCAGTTCCCTCTCTTCTTTTCTCTGACTCTCAAGAACATGATGCAGCAAAGATTAGCGGCTTTTCTCACAAGTAAAAATGGAATGGACATTGCATTCCCCCTACTGGGGATGCTGCTAATAGGCATAGCATGAGTTAACAAACCCAGTGATAACTTCGTTGTGTGTTTAAGTAAAAAGTTGCAAGGTTCTCTCTAAATCCTCTGTAAGCGTTGCGTTGGAACACTTGCTTTATCTAAATCTTGCTAGTTTTGAGTCTGAGTTTTCAAACAATGGAACTAGAAATGTTTCTACACTGCAAATTTTCCATTCATTAGTAGCAAGTATGACGTACTGAAAAACAGGTAAACTAGAGAAATGGGTTGCGTAATATTGGCTCATATATGCTATAAGATGCATAGTTAGGAGGAGTGATAATCTGAGTCGTGGTGTGTGGGTTAATGAACACTTTCAAACAATGGATACATCTATATGAAAATAATACTGATATGCATCTATAGTCATAAATTGTTCCCGCACCGAACTGAGAGTAACCATGGTCACTGGAAATTAAAGAGGCTACAATGTAATTAGTAGTGGTGACACATGATGACATTATTACAGTGGACCACGAGAACAACAGATAGATTTTTTAGTGCTTGAAAATTGTAACATGTTATGTTGGCACCAAACAACCTGGTACTACAATTTTGTTGTTTTTTTCGCCAACATAATGGTGATGGTCCCTATTCCCTAACGTTTAATTTAACTCCCGCCTAAAAAAAAGAACATTAATTTAACGTATCTATCCAACCTTTGGTTGGTAAACCAAACAAATATGATTTTATCAACCACAGTCCACACAGCTCGCATGCACGAAGCTTTGTATTAAAGGGTCGTGAATAGCGGGTACAATGTACAACACTTAATAGCCAATAGGCAATTGCCACGACACCCCATCCGTACAGTTGTATTAGTTTCTTCAAAATCTGGTCAAGATACATTCTTTTTCAGAAAACAGACCTCGCTTTGATAATTGCTTTCTCTCTCTGTTTTCTCTCTCTCTCTCTCTCTCTCTCTCATTCTTTTTCAGAAAACAGACCTTGCTTTGATAATTGCTTTCTCTCTCTGTTTTCTCTCTCTCCTCTCTCTCTCTCTCTCTCTGAGTGAGTGAGTTCATGAGCAGCAGCTGCTAGAAGATAGCCTCCACACTTCTTTCAAGACAGGGGAGAGAGGGGACCAAAAAGAGACTAAAAAAAAATTCAATCCCAAGCAAGCACAATATGGAGCAAGCAGAGGAGACCCACATGGTAAATGTATTGATTAACCCTAAAGCTCCTCCTTTTTTGTCTCCTTACTTGTCCATTTGCTGCTGCCGACCCACCCTCTCTGTCCTCCATCTATTATTGTCGGCTCTGTAAATATTGATTCATCAGTTTTTCGCATTTCGATGTTATTTAAGTACATTGCAGTTGGAAAGTCTGGTTTTTTACTGTTTATATGGGCCATTGTAGTTGTTTAAAATTTTTTTTAAAAAAAAAAACATTTTTAAGTAATGTACATTTTCTTGTTTTTTCCTTTATGGTTTAGCTACGTGGGTTGGTTACTTTGTGTGGTGATATATGTTATTCTGATTTTTGTTTTCCTTTGGCTGTAAGTTGATTTATTTTTTCTTTTTTTTCCGTTGGTTCTGCTTAAATTTTGTTTTTTTTTCTTGCATTTGTTTATGTATTTTTAAGTTCTTTTGTATAAAGTCCTTTTTTTTTCTTGGTTTTATGATTGCCATTAAGCTTCCTTTTGCCCCAAAGTGCCTATAATAGTAAGCAGATGATTATGAAACAACACTTAATGAAATCCAAATCATGCGTTTATAATTTGAATTTGGTTCAAGTTGGGTTATGCCACTTTCTAATACTCCCCACCCTTTTATTTTTACAAGGCATGGTTGGTCTCGAAAGAAGCAATGCCTTGTTAAGCATGTATTGGACATGCAAACCAAATGCAACATGCTTCAAACATATTTTAAATGTTACCTTGAAATCTAGTATATAAAGAAAAAAATTTAGATGGCTTTTGTGTAAATTGTGGAAAAGTCATGCCAAAGAGGCAGAGTATCAATGTGCATATGGTGTTTTTTGTTGCATTTGCATTTTGTTTGGTATTCATGTAATGTCAACTCTTTTTCAAGAGTTGTAACACATTTTGTTGACTTTGCTTCCCTGACAAGATTGGATATGATTTGGTTGATTTGAATAATCTCTTGTTAGAACCAATTAGAATCTCCTACAATTTTAAATATCTGAGTAAGATTTTTGATGCGTTTGTATATATTCAATGCTCTCTTCTAAGTAAATGATGTCTATGTTCTTAGGTATTAAATCACACGTGGGATGGTTGAGAGCATCTCATCCATACTTGATTGAACACTGAGAAACATGGCCTTGTTTAAATGCCTCAAGGACTGTAGGAGAGAAGTTTTGTGTATTTAAATACAACATATTATACAACTTGATTGCCATCCCAGTTTGTATCCGTTAGCATGTCTTTAGCTTTTTTGCAAGTCTGGCTCTAGTGAGATTATCTAAGGACTGACTAGATGAATAATAAACTACTACAGAAGTTGTGAAAAATGTGGATATGCATGCAGAGTACTATAGAAGAACCATTCAGTCATAGTCATCATAGTTCCACCATGGCTGCCATAATATTTTTCATCAAACTTCATTACCTCTTTTTCATGCACTGTGTTATTCACCAAAGATGACATCTCCATGCCCTATATGTACTCCTACTAATTGATAAATAATGCTAGACCGACACTGAGAAACTTTTGCTCAAGTTAAGCTTCATTTAGCTGAGTTATTTTAATCTTTTCAATGTGATCTGCTCTACTTTTCAGGTCGGACAATGTGATGTGTGTGGTGGTATTACTGATAAAAATCTCATTGCAACTTGCATTAAATGCAATATAAGTACTGAACACGGGTATGACTCTCTCTCTCTCTCTCTCTCTCTACATTTGATTACTTTGTTTGCCTGTTTCAATTAAGAACTGAATAGTATTTCTTCTGCATAATATCAGTGAATCAAAATAAAAAATACAATGAAGGTGAACAATCAGCTCAAATTACAAACGTAATTCAGCAGCTAGCCTTCCAATATGCGCGGATAAACTGATAAAGAAAAATATTATTTCACAAAATTCAGTAGAAAAACCAAATCCCACAAAGTTGGTCAAAAATGAACTTATCCCATAAAAGATCCTTCTAGAAGACGTTTCTTGCTAGCTTCCTAATTATTTTAAATTACTCTCATCACCATTGTATGCCCTTCCATGCATGGTATTTTGAACCACAAGTTTGTTGGTTTGATCTCTAGTTTCTTCCCCTGTTCAGTTGCTGAATTATTTTCGTCAGTTTCGGTTAGACATTTTCAAAAAATATAGCTGCTCTGGAGGGGTGAGTTCAGTTATCGTAATTTATTGTGATATCTCCGTTTCAGTTATTGCATGCGGATTCTTCCAATGGAATTTCCAGATGATTGGGTATGTGAATCATGTGAAGTGATTTCTCCAAAACCTGATGAGGAAGAAGACATAATGGCATCCTCTGCTGATTTAGTTCACCTTGATGCCATGCATCCAGCCGGTCCCAGCAGAGTTCTTGATGATTCAGGGTGGCAAGCTCATTCCAGAAGGCAAAAACCAGTTGAGACTGGAAAAGTTAAATTTATTCCAAATGAAGAAGTCATCAGGCTATCGTCAGGAGTTAGATCTCAGCGAAGTACTTTCGGCTCCAAACCTCGTCAGTTAAATTTCATGGCACCTATCCCCCAAAGGGCTCCTTTTGGGTCTAGAATTGTGACTCCAAAGTTTCCTATGTCTGCGATCAAAGCAAATCCTAGCATTATGTCTTCAAGAACTGTGAACCCTCCTAGATGTGGCGGGAGTGTCAAAATGCAAAGCATAGCAAAGATTATTCAGCGAACATCTCCAATTTTGAAGGATTCAAAAGGTGACAAATATTTTAATCTAATCTCTTAAGAATTTGTGTCTAATAATGGCTAATATTCCATTAGAGAAACAGAGATAGAGGTGTGCATATCACTGTGCTGGTTGTAACATTTGGCTAATATGTGCCTACAGGAACTATGAATATGTCTGTTTTCTAACTGTCCAGCATTCAGTCCCATATAGCATGGCTAGTCAAACAGATGTTCTATAAACTTAGCTTTCAATTCTAGCAAAGTGAGATGATCACGCTATATATGTGCTTAACAAAACCCTCCATTTTACCTATCGTGCTTTGATTCTATGAGCCACATCATCTCCATTCTCCCCTTGTATATATGGATGATTGAGTACATGCTAGATAGTGAAACTTTTTGCTTTTTGATATACTATTACTGGTGCAATTGGTTGCTCTTACTGGTGCAATTGCAATTGGTGTATGATAACGATTTTATGTGGATTGTTTGGGATGCCTTAGACAAAGATTTTTACTATCAGACTAGATTTTTAGCCTTTATTAGACGTCTTAGACAAAGTATTATAGAGGTATTTTTCTTAGTTTAATTCATTATTCATCTTGATCAGAGGGGGAGCTATGAGTTGAAGTAATATGTTCTTTTGTTGGACAATTGTAAGTACGATTCTCTTTCTTGTAATTTTCTTTCTTTGTTTTAATGAAAGTTTGTAACTTAAATTTGTGTTTCTTATAAAAAGAAAAATTATAAATTGCTCTTAATGTAGAGTTCATGCAATAGAATTTGGTTAGTAAAAGTGTTGAGAGACTTCTTGTATCTACTAGCTTATTTTGTTCAAAATATTTTGGATGTGTTATTAAAAGTGTGAAGATATCATTTTATTCCTATGGTAAATGGATGCTATATGTGCAATGCTTATGATCTCTTATCTCTGTTATAGGAGAAACAAAGACTTCCGTAGCTTCTGGAAATGAGCATATTGGGGAGAAGCAATTAACGGATGTCTTAGTTGGTGAAACTTCTTATAAGAAGATGGAGTCCAAAACAGGAAAGGAGCCACTCACAGTTTCAACAATGAGGCACTCATCACCTATTTCCAGTCCAGGCAAGGGTTATGACTTACAAATTATTATTATTTATTTTGGAACTGCAGAATTGGTTATTCTTTAAGTCTTCTTTTAAGTTTGATAAAATTGGTAATATATTTAGGTGTTATTTTTGGGTGTCCAATTCTTTCCTAACAAGTTAAGAGTATATCTTCGCAACATTGAAATTGTAGCACAGTTGTGACTGTGGTGGGTAATTTTGTTGCTTGGCATTTATTGAACCTACCTTCCTCCCTTTGTAAATTATGTGGTAACACTTGTGTTGTTGAACATAATCATGCAGATAGTGAAGAAAGAGATCCCGTGAATATTTTTGATAGTCTCAATCTAAAGCCTTCGAATCTTCCTGCTCGAGATGGTCCTTGGAAGTGGGTAATTTCTCCTTTTAAGATGTTACATATGTGTATTCTATCATGATTTCACCAACTCATGTTTTGATTTGAATTAGAGTTAATATATTGTTTGGTATTAAAAGTTGATGAGAAAAATGTTCCTTAAGAATATGTGTGGATTTTTTTTTTCCAACTTAAATCTTCTAGGTGGGTTCGCTTTTGCATCCTATGTTGATGTTCTGAATGCACTGTTTTGTCATGGCTGCTGTTTTACATATTTACATATATCAAGTTATTTAAGTGCTCTCAAAAGCTTCATTGATGTTTCTTTCTTTAGGGGAGGCTTCATCCTTGATGCAGCCACACCTGGAGAATTCATTGGTGGGTTCCAAGCACGACCTCCATGTAAGGTCCATCCTAAAGCCTATGCATTTTCACAAAAAATGCCTCTCATCCTCAATGCCAACTGGCTTCCTCGATCCAGTATTTGGACTGATATCTTCCAAGACGATGACCCTGTCCTTGAAGATGTTGCCCTTTACTTTTTCCCTGATGAAAACATTGAGAGGTATTTTTTGTCTTCTGGTTGCATGGTTTTGATATTTGAGTTTTGTTGGTGATGCAACTATCATAACATTTTGTCCCTACTGATTTGTAGATCAAGAGAGAACCATGCTCGGCTGATTAACCGCATGGAGAACCAAGATTCAATTATGCGAATTTGCTTTGATGGCAAGGGGGTGCAGTTGCTGATATTTACATCAGGAAGTCTACAGTTAGACTCACGGGGTTAGTTTTTTCTTATAAATTTCCTCCTCTCTTGCAATGACTTCAGCTTTCTTTTGTGTGTGTAGTCCATTTGGATTACCTTTTTCGGAGTTTTTTATTTAGATTGTTTCTGTATTAGATGCATTGCTTATCTACCATTAACATTCTGGTTCATGTCAACAGTGGCAGACTTCTTATGGGGAATCTTTCGTTGTATAAAAAAGGATGTTGCTCATAATAAGGTACATGAAGGACTCCCGTCAACGGTCGATCAAGAAAACGTGGATGACAATAAGACTGTGGATATGGAAGTTGACATGGTAGGTGGAAAGATGGTGGGAAGAGTTGATATAGTGGTTCCGAGGGATTCAAAGGTTATCTGGAACACTAAATCATCATCAGGTACTACTTATAAACCTTGATATTCAATCCTTAAACAAGAAATTCTTTTGATCTATCAATGGAACATACTGATGCTGCTTATCCTCAACCTTTGTCAGAAATGAAGACAACATGTGGCTTGCAAAGAACTTGGGAAAAGACGAGGATAAAATCCCCCCTGAAACAGAGGAGGAGGAGGAATCGGCAGGCCCACCAGGTTTTTCATGAGGGCAGCCCTCAAAGTGCTACTGGTTCAACTGAGGGAATGACAGGGACATCTTCAACTGTTAATTAACCATGGAGATTGAAACTGCAGCTCAAGAGTCATCACCAACTTTTAACCAGACATAACCACAGTAGACTAGATAGCTAGCTTTCAACAAAAAAATATATAAACCCATTAAAGAAAAAACAGAGTCCTCTGTTTGTAGTGCCTCTTACTTGTATTGGATCTTTTTGGTTTGGTTGTCTATTATTACAGAGCCTCCTTCCATTGACCTAAACATGGCATTGGCATGTGCATGCTCGCTCTTCCATGTTTTTGCAATTTCTTGTACACAACAACAGTCAAGGACCCAAATTTGATGTGAGATTTATTTTCCTTGTCCATCTTACACATAATTTGAAGAACATTCAATCTTGACATCTCGGTTTGATGATAGAAGATGTATTTAACAAGGTTGATGCACTAACTTTAGTTATTTTGAATTCTCTACGTGAGATCCTAATATGCTTGAACATATTTGATGGAAGTTTTTCTCGTTGGAGCTTTTAGCTTGTAACTTGCTGGGTTGACTTGTCTCACATAAGATCAAAGTTCTTAGTTATGATGGCAGTATGAAGCTCTGCCTTTTTCAGGCATGAGTTTGGAAGCCTTTTATCCAGCTATTGATGATGGTTTCTATGCTATGATTGGAGAAGGAGATGCAGACTATTTGGTTTATTTCACCTTAAATTCCAGATGTCGATCCATTGTGTTTAGATATGCATTATCTAACCCTGTTTCTATGTGTATGTTATTTTGATTTCGATTGTTTCTTTCACTTATGATTATGTGTTTGCTATTTTGATATCGTTTCTTTGAACTTAAATTCGAGATCCCGATCTAGTGTGTTTAGTTTTAGTTTTGCATTTCTCACGGCAACAAATGGTAAACTCTAATTGAAAGAAGAAAAAATTTAGAAAAGAAATGAGTTGCAGACAATAACAACGTCGATCTCTTCTCTCGCTCTCTCTTTCACTAACTTTCTCTCAGTGACTCGCTTCCTCTCTTCTTTTAAGGCCCCAAGCCCAACACACGCTTTCTTCATTTTATTATTATTTTTCCTCTTTTCTTTTTCACTTTAATTTATTTTCTTATTCTTTTTAACTTTATAAATAAATCAAAAAGAATAAATTAAGTTTGACAAATTCCTAATTATTGGGATCCTACTCCACATGTAGACAATCCACAAATAAAAGAACAAACAAAAACTATATAGATAAATTAAGTTTGAAAGATTAGGTTTGAGCTTAGCCAAACATGTTAAAAACAGGTGGACTCCTTAAGCTAACGGGTTGTTTCGGCATCCATTCGTGAATACTCATTAAGAGTAAGGGTAGAATTCATCAATTATCCATGCGTGAATATCCGTTATACACTCATTCACATACTTGTTATCCATCCGTGAATACCCATCTGGAATTTTGGTGAATGATAATTCTTGATCTTGCTTAAAATGTTTTATTCAAAGATTTATACTTTTATTTATGGTATAATATGAGGTATTTTCATTTAACAATTTGTTAAGAAGCGGGTAATGTAGGTTAAAGCTACCTACTATTCTTAACGTGTAAAATATGTTGTGCTCTTGTATGATACTTTTTACCCGTTAACTTAACGGGTTGTGTTCGTGTCAATCAATTAAGAAAGCTAGTTGACACAGACAAGATGTAGGCTTTTCGAGGCATTTCAAACTATTGGCTTCAAAACATATGACCCGTTTGCCAGGTGTGATAAAAACATAACCAGCAATTCAAACTATCGGGATCTCACCCCACACATTCTGCATGGGAATGGGGGCTTTTCGAGGCATTTCTCTTGAACTTGTTCATCCTGTTTCGGTGCCTGAAACATGTTTAATCCATTCTATAAATTATGAGTCAGTCGAAGATTACAAGATTGGATCCACAATCCTAGTGGATTATCAATCCGATCATTAACATACTAGTTCATGTCAATATTCAGTGCCAAAGCTTCTTATGCGGATTCTTTCGTTGTATAAATAAGGATCATATTCATAACAAAGTACACGAAAGGGTTCCCTTCAACGATTGATCAAGCAAACATGACAACGAGACTCTGGATATGGAAGTTGACATGGTATGGTAGGTGGAGGGATGGTGGGAACAATAGAGTTGATGTAGTGGTTGGTTCCGAGGGATCCAGAGATTATTTGGGAAACTAAAACATCATCAGGTACAATTATAAACCTTGATAATATATTCATCCCTTAGACAACAACCTTCTTGTGGTGTGGTCTGCCAGTGGAACATCAACATACTGATGCTGCTTATCCTACACATTGTCAGAAATGAAGACCAGATGTGGCTTGCAAACGAACTCGGGAAAAGAAGAGGGTGAAATCTCCACTGAAACAGAGAAGGAAGAATTGGCATTGCAGGCCCCCCAGGATTTCATGTCAACTGAGGGAATGGCATGACAGGGCCCTCTTCAGATGTTCAACATGGAAATTGAAACTGCAGCTCAAAAGTTTGATTTTGAAACCTCTCCAACTTTTAACAAGACAAAACATAACCACAGTGGACTAGATAGCTAGCTATCAACTAAAAATATATAATCCAACCTATTAAAGATGAAACAGAGTCCTCTGTTTGTAGCCCCTCTTACTGGCTATGAGCAAAATCATATACTGTAGAGCCCCTCCCATTGAACTATATATGGTGTGTGCATGCTCTTTCATGTTTGTGAAATTAATCTTGTGGACACCAACAGTCAAGGACCAAAATTTGATTTGAGATCTATCATCTGGTCCATTTTTCTCACAAGATCCAACCTTTATATCTTTGCGACAATGTGAAATTATTTGTGATATCATTAGAAGATGCATTTAAAATAGGTGATGCAACACTTTGAGAGAAACTAATAACATGGTTGCAAAATTCAAACACGAACATATATGCTCCTATTGGGTTTGATCAAATTCCCAATAATTTGAATTGCTGGTTAGGTTTTGATCAATCCTTGAAAATTTCATAGGATGGCCCAATTTGGAAATTTCAAACTTGATTTATTAATAAAGTTAAAAAGGAATAAAATAAAAGAACTTAAAGTTAAAAAGAAAAGTGGAAAAGAAACCCCAAAAAATAAAAATAAAAATAAAACAAACAAACAAAGCGTGGGAAGTCCAAACCAAAGTACAAAGACCCATTTATGACCAAAAAAAAGTACAAAGACCCATCGGAACACAGATTTTCTGTTATTTTTATACAGTGGGTTGGATCAGTTCCCGCTTTCTGGGTTTCAGAGAGACGGAGAGACGATGGAGGTTGCTGATGGTGTTGACTCTGAGAGCAAAATTCAGCAGAGGAGAATGAGGAGGGTGGGATTGTTATACGACGAGAGGATGTGTAAGCACTCTACACCCGACGGTGGGTCAACATCCAGAAAACCCTGATCGAATTAAGGTCATCTGGAACAAGCTCCAAGCAGCTGCCATTCCTCAGAGGTACAGTACTGACATATATGCGTACATATACATGCGTGTTTGGCGGCTGAGAAAATAAAAAGAGCAAGGGAAATTGAAAGAAAGAATGAAGTTTTACATGTCTTTGTAATATCTAGTATTCATTTAGCTCATCAAGTTCAGTAATTTTTATAGGCTGCTGCTTCTACCGCTGTGTGTGAATTAGCAGAGAAATAATCTCATTTTTCTAGACTCTAGTATTTGGTGCTTAAATGCAATCATATTGGTTGGAATTTAAGGGAAACTAATCCTGAAAGATTTTCGAGGTTGACATTTTTTGTCTTTGCGGTATCTGGGATATAATAGAAAATGGGGTTTGAGCATAATTAAATTGTGTTATGGATGTGTGTGCATACAAATATATGAATACATACATATATTGATACATATATGTGGTGGGAAAGATATTGCTTGGTTGGCCGTTTGTTGAAACCAATTCTGAATTCTATTGGATGCTTATCCTTTCTCAGGTGTGTTATTTTGGGTGCCAAAGAAGCAGAAGACAAACATATCTTGTCAGTTCACTCCAAAAACCATGTTAATCTGATTAAGAATATAAGCTCCAAACAGTTTGATTCACGACGAAATCGGGTTGCATCAAAATTTAATTCCATATATTTCAATGAAGGATCATCTGAAGCAGCTTATCTTGCTGCGGGCTCTGCCATAGAGGTAATTCGTGTGAGGAGTATACCTCCATAAGGTTTCTAATAAGTGCATTGATAACAATTTATGCTTGTTTAGCTAGACCACATCTTTTGTCTGTTCTTTCTTAAAAATTAAAAACTGAGCATCTAAGAAACACCTCTGGTTTGCATATTTTATTTTCATTGCCTTGACTAATTAAAACATGCAAAAAATATTATAGGACTTTTGTGTCGTTTAACTTTTGGGCCTGAATTTTGAATTTTTTTGAAGGGACAAGTAGAATTTCCTTATACTATGAAAACAAATACATGAAAATGTTGATTTCTGCATTTATATTTGATTGTGTCTTCTTCTGAACTTCTGGGTAAAGGCTTTTTTCCCCCTCATTTGGTTTATGTATTGTGTAAATATGAATTCAACCCATGATTTGCAATTTCAGAATCTGTTACAAATGAAGCTACTTCCGCATATTTCATCTAAGTGTATGTTTCCTACAAATACACTTATGTGTTATACTTCATATTAATGTATCCTAACTATGGGTGTTCACTTAAATAGGTAACTGAAAGAGTTGCCAAAGGAGAACTGGATTCTGCCGTGGCTATCATAAGGCCTCCAGGACATCATGCTGAACAAGATGAAGCAATGGGATTTTGTCTGTACAACAATGTAGCCATTGCAGCACGTTTCCTTTTAGATGAAAAAGTAAGACTTGCCTTATAGTTATTCAACAATTATAAATTTTATACCTTGTAGTTTCCTTTTTTTATATTTTGCTTTCTAGAACATGGAATAATAATTTTAAAAATTCAACTCTGCTTTCTACTTTTATTAAGTTGTCACCTGAGGACATCATGTTCATACTTGACAGCCAGAATTGGGCATCAACAAAATTTTAATCGTTGATTGGGATGTGCATCATGGTAATGGTACTCAAAAGATGTTCTGGAAGGATCCTCGTGTTTTGTTCTTCTCTGTTCATAGGTATGCCAGAATTTTGAACTGATACTTATTCTTTTGCTTGATCATTTAAGATTATGAAGTTAGATTTCTTCATGTAGTGCTGTTAAGATCTGCTGCATGACATTCCTTTGTTGTTTTCTTGAATTAGAAGTTGCTATCAAGAGGCTTTTTATGCTTCCAAGGATTCTGTGACATAACAATTTCTAACTTTTGCATTCTATCGAAAGT